TCTCACTTGACTGGTTTTTTTTCTTTCAGTGCTTTAAATATAACCTCTACTGCCTTCTGGCCTCCAAGGATTCTGATGAGAAATAATGTTATTGAGGGCTACTTGTATATGACAAGCATCTTCTCTTTTGCCTGCTCAAGATTCTCTTTCTGTCTTTGTCTTTCAACAGTTTGATTACAGTGTGTCTTGATGTAGGGCTCTTTAGTTTATTGCAATTGGAGTTGAGGTTCTTGGACTGATGATTCTCATATTTCATCCAATTTTGGATGTTTTTGACTGTGATTCCTCAAATAATGGTTCTATTCCTTACTCCTATCTCCTTCTAGGACTTCCACAGTGTATATGTTGATCTGCTTGATGATGTCCCACAGGTCCCTTAGACTCTGGTCACTTTTCTTCATTCTTTATCCTTTCTCCTCCTGTCACTCTGTAATTTCAGTTGTCGTATGCTAAACTTTGCTGCTTTCTTCTTCTGCCTGCTTAACTCAGCTAATGAAATTTGAAATTTAGTTACTGTGCTTTTCAGCTCCATAATTTCTGTTTCGATTTTGAATACTTTATGTCCCTTTTCTGATACTCTCATCTTTTTCATATATCATTTTCCTGATTTTCTTTCCTTCTTTTTTTGTCTTTATTTCAGTTTACCTCTGAGGATATCTAAGATAGTTGCTTTAGGTCTTTATCTAGTAGGTCTGATGCCATTGCTTCCTCAGGGGTAGTTTCTGCAAATTCATTAGTTCCTTTATGAACCACGTCCTCCTATTTCTTTCTGCATTTTGTTGCAAATTGTTTTTTTTTAATTACGCTTTTTTTTATTATACTTATTATAATGTGGTAGTCTAGAAATCAGAATTCCCAATGGATACAAGGGTGTTTTTGCACTTTTTGTTGTAGAAGTGTCTAATAGTCTCTTTGTTTTGAGACTTTTCCAAACTACTTTGGCAAAGAATATTCTTTGTTGTGTATGATCGGTGGAGTTTCTGTTCCTTTAGCTCATATTTAGCTAAGGTTTTGACAGACTTCCTTGAATTCCAGGAGCTGAAATAAACAAAACCACCACAAAATTTTAAAACAAAACACCAAGAAGAGCCACATCTCCCAGTCTTGGTAGAATGTTTCTTTGCTGGGGCATTCCTTTATTTCTTACTTAGGCTTACTCTCAGCCTAAGCATCAGCCCAAAGCTGGTTTAAGGTGTTCTCAGGACTCTTCTGAGTGTGATTCTAGCTCGGCATAAGTGTGGCTTTCTCAATTCACCTGTGGCCATGGCTGCTTTTGAACATCCTAATTGACCCCAATCATCTTAGAACAGATTTACACAATAATTTGTGAGTGAAGTCTACATTTCTCCCTTTGGTTCAAGGAAAACTTGGAACTGAACCACTGATCAAGACCAAAACTGCCACCATTCCAGGAAGGAGCGGGAGACGAGTGAAGAAAAATGCCACAAATCTTTCCTACCATTTTGAAGATGGCTGTTTCTTGATTGAACATTTGCTTTATAGTTGTAAACCTTGCATTGTTTTCTAGAACTCCTACAAGTTTAGTGCAGACAGCTTCTGATTGTTTTCTATGATGTTTCTTTTTTGTAATTTATTTTTTATTGCAGTAACACTGGTTTATAACATTATATAAATTTCAGGTTTACATCATTATATTTTAGTTTCTGTGTGGATTACATCATGTTCACCACCCAAAGCTGATTACTATCGCTCCCCATACACATGTGTCTAGTCTCCCCTTTCCCCCTACTTCCTCCCCTCTTCCTCTCTGGTAACAGCCAATCCAAACTCTGTCTCTATGTGTTTCTTTGTTGGTGTCTTTATCTTCTATTTATGAATGAGGCTATATGGTATTTGACTTTCTCCCTCTGACTTATTTCACTTAGCGTAATACCCTCAAGGTGCACCCATGTTTTCACAAATGGCAAGATTTCATCCTTTTTTTATGACCGAGTAGTATTCCATTGTACATATGTAGCACATCTTTTTTATCCATTTATCTGTTGAGGGGCACTTAGGTTGCTTCCAAGTCTTGGCTATCGTGAATAATGCTGCAATGAATATAGTGGTGCTAATATCTTTTCAATCTAGTGTTTTTGTGTTCTATGGTTAAATATCCAGAAGTGGAATAGCTGGTTTGTATGATAGTTGTATTCTTATTTTTTTGAGGACTCTCCATACTATTTTCCATAGTGGCTCCACCAGTTTGCACTCCCACCAGTGGTGATGAGAGTTCCCTTTTCTGGACGTCCTCTCCAACAGTTGGTATTTCCTGTCCTGTTGATTATAGCCATTCTTATGGGCATCAGGTGATATCTCATTGTTGCTTTGATTTGCATTTCCCTGATAATTAGCGATGGTGAACATCTCTTATGCCTGTTGACCATCTGAATATCTTCTTTAGCCAAATGTCTCTTCAGATCTTTCACCCGTTTTTTATTGGATTGTTAGGTTTTTTATGTTGAGATGTATGAGTTCTTGATATATTTTGCTTAGTAACCCCTTATCAGATACATGGTTTACAAATATCTTCTCCCAATTGTTAGGTCGTCTTGTCATTTTGTTAATGGTTTCCTTTGCTGTGCAGAAGCTTTTCAGTTCAATGTAATCGCATTTGTTCATTTTTTCTATTGTTTCTTTCCTGTGACCTTGTTTCTAATAACATGCTTGCACTAAGTGCTGTTTCTTGCTGTTTGAGGTTTATACATTCTCTATTGACTTCTTGTTTTGGGGGAAGAGAATTTAGCTTTGTTATAGGTCAGCTCCTCTACACAATACTGTCCCAGCCACTTCCATTCTCTCAGCATAGTTCTATCACTAGGATGTTTGTGCCTCAGGCCTTAACAGTAGAGATGTCCTCACATGTCTGTTGATCCTCCTCTCTGCATTCTCATTTAAGAGGAGGGCACTAAAACATGACTGGAGCTCTGAGTGCCAGAAGTCCACATGGCTGCTCTGTCCCGTACTGCCTCCTTCCTAGGGACCTGGAGGTCCCTGTTGCATTTTTACACTGCCCATGAGCATTTGTGTTCTTCTGTATTCTAGATTCCAGAACTTCTTTCACAATCCTCCTGAACTGGCAACTTTCCCAGACTAGGTGGGTGGGTTGAAGACTCTTGCTTCCTGTAAATCTTCTTTGGAAGTTCTTCTTCACTCAGAAGAAAACAGAGGGGAGGAGCAGTGAGTCATAAGAAGGAAAATGGAAAGTGTTACCATTCCTCAGGGAAGGAGTTGCCTTGCACTTAGCTTGGAAGCTTCCGAGAGAAGGTCAGTATTGTGGAGATTGCCAGAGTCCAGTGCTTTGCTTCTCAGCAATTGTTGGACACAGCAGTGTCACCCCGATCTGCCAAGTACAATGGACAAGCATGGGTTTTGCAGCTAAATCTGGGTTCAGTTCCATTCTAATCGTGGAAATTTTGGCCAATTCCTTGACCTGTGATGAGAGCCTCTGTTTTCTCATCTGTAAAATGGGAATAATGCTGATATCATCAAGTTGTTCTAGATTTGGAACTTATGTATATAAAGTGCCTGGTTCATACATGCTCCATGAATGATAATCCTGATATTGTTAGAGTCATCTATGCTTAGTCTCACCACCATCTGTTGACAGTGTAGATGCAGCCTAGAGGAGGCAGATGGAATGGTGGAGAGGAGAAGGATGGGTGGGGACCACACATGTAAACATGACATTCAGGACACTTATGGGCATGGAGATCAGTGGAGGTGAGAGAACGGGCCTCCTGAAGGGTCCTCTGACTCACGTGCCATAATAAGATGTGAGCCAGCATTTCCATGGAGAGAGCCCAGACCAGGTCACCAGCCACGGTTTCACCCCCTACCAGCTGCAGGACGTTGAACAACACACTTAATCAGTGAGCCCTAGGTTGCCCTCCATGACCTTGAATAGTGTGGACCTACAGAGATGTGGGGTTGCAAAGATCTTTGGCCCTGGGCAGGTAGGGCACATGTAAGTGCTTCCTACCTACACAGAAGAAGCCCCAAGGCCCCAACCCTCTTCAGCCTCCTCACCCTCCATCCAGGGACTAAAGTGGGAGCTGATGGGAGTGAGAAAATGAAAGTAGGGACAGGAAGGACCTGTGGCTTTCCCTGCTATTCGGGGCATGATGACACCAGACAGTGTGTCCCAGATCTGTTCCTGCCCCTCTCCTGGTAGTACCGCTGACAAAGCACTTTTGTGCCCAGAGGAGCTCAGCTTTTCAGGCTGATAAGAAAGAAGGGAAATAAAATAATCTGGGTTGCACATTCTCCTTGGCCTGAGGCCCACACTTCTCTTGGGGATGTCTTTTCACGTATCTGTGGGTGCTGGGAAATGTGGAGGAGTGAACAGAATTTGGGGGTGTCATGAGGAAGGGTTGGCCGGTCAGACACAGGCTTCCAAATAGCTCCCCAGCCTAAGGGGTCATGTCAGCATAGGTTGATGCCCAAGAATCCAGGAGTCCAGCAGGGGCTTCAGGACAGGCCTGGACCACCTCTGAGCCTGGAACTGTTGATCCAAGAGGCTCCTGATGGCAGAGGGTGGCAAAGAGCCATGCCCCCATCCACTCACACACACGTTTAAGGGGCAGGAGAGGAGCAGAAGGCTAGGAATGGTTATTCCCAAGGGGAGGTGGGGGACCAGGAGAGCCAACATGTCAGAATCAGCATGAGGGAGGCTGTGGCCAATACACCCTCCCTTGTTTCTTGTCTAACAGCCCCACCTAGTGTGACTGACCATCCTGGTTTACCACCCAAAGTCCCTCATTTATGGAAGTCCCTCTGTCCCAAAACACAGGTCTGGTTGGTCACCCTCCCCACCACTCACGCTGATGAAAGTCACCACCAGGGTGACCCACAGAGGCCACTGAGGGTGCGTGGCAGCCTTCAGCTATGAGGGGAGGAGCTTGCTAAAGGGCCTGCTGGAAGGTGGGGAGGCAGACGCTCGCTCAGCCCACTCAAAGGATGCGACTCAGCCCTCTGACTCAGATCTCTTTTGTTTTCAGGTCGGACATTGTGAAAGATAATTGGGAGGATATTCACAAATTTGTGAATGAAACGGCCAAGAAGTACAAAAAGTACGGGCTCTCCATGCTTCAGGGTGTTTTCCTCTGCCGGGCAGAACACCCAGCATTTTAGACTCCCTGGGCAAGGGAGACCCTCGGCTCAGGAGCACGGAGCCCGGGGCAGTGTTCAGAAGCAGGAAAGAGGGACAGATCACAGGGTTCCTTTTGGTCTCAGTGTCTTTGGTTCGCTCCTACCTGGGAGTCCGGCCACATGGTATGGGACACAGTCTGCCCCAGAGGACCTCAGACTGGGAAAGGAAGTTAAGACAGGCAGACGAGCAACTCAGTAACTGAACGCCGGGTGCCCAAACCAAAAGAAACAAAGAAACAAAAGTCTCATGTGGCAGCGTAAAAGAAATAGCAAGAATTCCTAGAGAAAAAGTCAAGGATGGCTTCCTAGAGGGTGTGACAATTTGAACTAGGTTTGAAGGATGAGGAAGGGCTGGTTAACAGGAGTCATCAAGGAGACTGGTTGTGGAGAGAACAGTCTGTTTGGCTGGAGGGTAGGGTTAACTCAGCAGAGGGCAGGGACATGAGGCTGGACAGGACGGCTTGTGGTCAAGGCCATCGGGGCTCATAATACAAGATCAAGGGACTTGGATTTCCTGCTGTGAGCAATAGGGAGCTATAGATGATTCTTGAGCACGTGTGTGACATGATAAATGTTGTGCTTCGGGGAAAAGTCTGATAATTATGGGTAAAATGAGTTGGAACAAGAGCCATAAGCAGTAAGAAGCTCATTTACCTAGGGTAGAAATTTAGCTAAAAGATAATGAGGCTGCATGGACCAGAAGACAGTGACCAGGGAGAGGAGGGGGAGAGATGTACAGTCGTGTCACTTAATGACAGGGACATGTACTGAGAAATGAGTCCTTAGGCAATTTTGTCATCGTGCAAACATCATAGAGTGTGCTCACACACCTAGATGGTACAGCCTGCTACATTCCTAGGCTACATGGTGCTAACTTATCGGACCACCGTCTTATATACACTCTGTCCTTGACCCAAAGTCCTATGAATGGCTGGAAACCGGAGAAGAATTTCGTGGAGATGAGAGGGAGGCGGAAAAGACTATGGCAGAGGGAACAGGATGAAGCATCCAAAGAATTTCCCAGGCGAAGCGAGGCCAGTTGAGAGAGCGTCATGGAGGAGTGTGTGGGCGTCCATCTTCTTGTGCAAGTGGCATGCTGTGTGCAGCCTGTGTGTGTGTGTTTGAGACAGAGACTCCTGGGGCGTTGAGGGTAGAGGGATGGAGCAGGATGCATCTGGGCACTGTCTGCCGGGGAGCCCAGCATCTCCACTAGCCTCAGAATCCTTCTCTGAGGTGATGGGAATTCCTGGGAGTCAGAAAAGAGTCCAAAAGAAGAGTTGGGGTGGGCAGCAGGGAAGGTGGCATGCACCCCATCCCTGGCTCCACATTAGCCTCATTTTGAGCCTGTGTTTATGGCTTCTCACAAGTTCATGCTTCCTCCCCAGCCCAAAACTGCGGATGTCGTTCATCACCTACTCCACAGAGGGCCACACCCTCATGAACCTCACCTCAGACAGGTAAGTGCTGCTTTGATCCAAAGGCAGGCCCTGTGGGTGGGGCTGCAGGGAGAGCCAGGGAGCTGAGGGCTTCCCTGAGACCTCAGGGGGGACCCTGGTGCACTAGCTATACCCCTGTGCTTCTAGACCATCTCCGCCCTGCCCTCACCTTCCTGAGACCTTCCCTGGGCACTCTACCCTTAGAACGGGCTGGTTGGGAGGACTCCTGGGAGCTGGTGGAACCAACATTCTGGGCCGCTGTGAACAGTGGCCTGTGTTGGGCACCTGCTGTGCTCTGCCCTGGGCCAGTGGAGGAAGGGAGATGACAGTCAGAAGCAGGGAGGAAGGGACGGGCAGCGTCAAAGTCGGGGGGGCTTCAGTGGGGGGGAGCTGGGTCCCTTGGTGGGTCTGAGACAGGGGAGCCCGTGAATGGGGTCCTGACCAGCAGGCTGGGCTGAGGTGCAGGAGGGAGGCATGACGTGCCCGCATCCTAGGAGGGCTGAGCAGGTGCCCACAGGCCCGGAGGAAGGCAGTCCTGGGCTTCTGAGTAGTTTGGAGGTTCGAGTTCCCATGGATACAAATGACTGGAACCCAACTCAGAGTGGGTGGAGCACCAGAGCGGGGGGAGGACATTTAGGACTGATGGGTCCCAGGATTTGTGGGACAGAGCCACTGCTCAGGACCTTGGAGAGAAGCCAAGCACCACACAATGAGCAGGAAGAGCCAGGCTGCAGGGGAGGGCGTGTGGGGGTCCCAGGGCATGGGCACAGACTCCCATGTCTGACTCCCAGGAGAAGCAGGGACTGGGCTGGCGGCTCCATGGCCTAGGGGAAGGCGAGGTTTTGTGTGTGCCTGTGGTTCCTATTTGGGGGAGAGAGACCTGAGTGGGTTTGAGGTGGAAGAAAGCAAGTCCGTGGGGAGGGACTCTGGCAGGTGGCAGAGACAGAGGCATTGGGGGTGGGGCATGGGCCTCAGGTGGAGGAGCGTCCCTGGGGGAGAGGAAGACCACTGCCTCCCCCAGGGCAGGGGCTCAGGGCCCAGACCATGAGAAGCTGTGTGAGGCTCCTGGAGGGCCTCCCAGGTCATCTCTGGTGAGCGAAGGTGGGGCTGTCTTCCCCATGGGGGGGTGTCAGGAATGGGTGTGGGGCTCAGGGGAGCAGAAAAGATGTGAGCTCGTGTGAGTTTAGGGGGGTGATATTTTAAGAGGAGGGGTTCTTGCCGAGGGTGCTAGGAGCCTGTGGTCCCTCAGGAGCACAGCTGGGAGCAGGGAGTGACTTGGGCTGCCGGGGCAGCAGCAGGGAGAGCTCGAGGGGGCGAGAGCACAGCCTGGCTGAGCTGGATGCTGGCCGGAGGCTGGGAGGCTGAGAGTTGCAGCATACTGGGGGTGCTACTGACAAAACAGAAGACTTCTAGATGTTCAGAGAGGGGGGAGGGTGTGTGTACTGGGCTGGGCAGGGCCTGGGTTGGCCTCCGCTGGCCATGGGTCCAGGCTGCCTCACGTCCTGGGCTGGGCTGGGCAGGGCTGGACCCGGGGCTCTCAGCTCTCCCCCCGTGGCAGCATCTCTTCTGCCTTCAGTGAGAGGCCAGCCTTCAGGGCCACGCTCTCCTGAGCCTTGCTGTGCCCGCTCAGCCCTGTCACATCGGATAAGCCTGGACCCAAGACCACCCCCTGCTGTGTCGCAGTCCCAACCTGTGCTTCTGCATTAACACTGGCTGACTGGCCACCTCCCCATGGCAGCCTGGGGACCATGGCGCTTCCGCCTGCTTGGACAGCCCTCAGGGCCACTGCCCCAGCTTTGGTCCTTTCCTTCAGGACACATGAGGTCCAGGAGCTGAGCCCTCTAATTAAACAGCTTTGTTACTTCCTTTAGCACCAACTACAGAAGGGGGAGAGGCTTGGGTGCACCGAGTCATCCTCGGGTCTGTGACAGGGATGATGGGAGCAGGGGGCATCAGCTGGATGACCTTCTCCAAACTCAGCCTTACCTGTTGGAGGACTGCGTGCCCTCCTGAGGGGCCCTTGGGTGCTTTGCGGTCCTGCCAGTCACATTGTATGTGCCAGAGTCACAGGGCACATCCTAGATGCTCCCACTCCCACATGGATGGTCAAGGCAGGGCCCTTGGTGAGGTCCCCTGAGGTCTGCATATCTGAGATGGTGGGAGCCCATGGAAAGCCAGCTGTACCCATGGGACCAGACATCCAGTGCCCACCTCATGTCTCCAGATGGGGGACATGAAGGCCTGTCAGTGTCAAAGACACAGGGTGGATGGGCCATGACAGGGCCACTTGACTGAGTCCTCTGCTGTCCAGGCCGCTCAGCACAGGGTGGAATGGTGCCAGGACAGCGTGGGGCTGGTTTTCAACCGTCAGCCCCCCATTCCACCTCAATCCCCTTTCTGATTTTCTTCAGAAATGAGATACATGATGGTCTTGACCGACTTCAGAATGTGGTGCCCTCAGGAGACAGAAACCTGCAAGAGGGGTTTAAAAAGGTACAGCCTGCTGGCGCTCTGGGAATTTGCTCTGCTTGTCAAGTTCTTAGAGTGCTGTTGGCTCAGCTCACTGCTCCTTAACCCTCCTTCATGTTGTTGCAGGCCAATGAGCAGATCCAACAAGTGCACTCCAAAGGTAAGCTGCCTGCTGACTCCTCATGGGCAGGTCCGTCCCTTACGGAGCCAGGCCTGGGCCTCAGTGAGGCCTGGCACACCCACCTCGGCCACTTCCTAGCGCTGACCTTTGGGGAAAGTTGCTTTCCCTCTCTGAGCTGTAGGTTTCCCCTCCGTGCAGTGAGGCTAAAAGCCCCCTCAGTGATGTTTCTCAGAATCCACAGATCATGTGTGCACATTCTTGGTTCTTAGTAAACATGCGCTCTTGCCCTACCCCTGAGCTGCACGAGAAGGAAGGGAACAGCCCGGGGCCCTAGAGCAGACAGGCTTCAGTTTTCGGAGAAAAGACCTTGCTGTCCTCTTTCCTGACCTCGCTTTTGTCTCCATCCCATTTCTGGCTGTGATTCCTTTTCCCTTCTGCTCCTTCCCTTGATTGACTGTCATCCTGGGACTGTGTCTCCAACAGTGGAAAAGGCTGTGCTGGGCCAGAACCGTCTTTGTCTAGACTGTAGGGTTATAGCTCTTGTCAGGAGAGATGCGTGGGGCTGGTGGGAAAGGCTTTGAGCTGCTTAAGTGCCTCTGACCCGCAGTTGGAACCACTGGGGAGACAGGTGCCAGCAAGAATGTGGGCAGGCGCTGCCCAGATCAGAAGCCCAGCCTTCCACAGAGCCTGCAGGGCCTGGCACAGTCTGGTCTGCCTGTTCCTCACTTTACCCACCTGAAAGGGTGACACTTGTCCAGTGAAACAGCTGGAGTCACCTGTTAGGGCAAAGGTTGTGCCATCTGGGAGTGGTGGGAGTTCAGTAGGAAGGGCCCTGAGCCGGCTCTGTCTCCTCATCTGGAAAGTGGGTCCTGGGCTGAGCTGCTTCTCCCTCCGGAGTGGGATGCAAAGCCCCCCAGGCACTGTGCACGGTGGGTGCTGGGGTCTGTGTGGCCTTTCCCCAGGAGAAGGAGGTGTGGGGGGCAGTGCTGTGGCCCTGGCAGCCTGCGGTGGGTCATGCTGGGTGCCTTTCCTGACCAGGCCACTCCCTTCTTGTACTGCAGACCAGAAAGCTGCTAGCCTGATTATTGCTCTGACTGCTGGACCACTGCAGCAGAAGACGGTTCAGGATGCTAAGAACGAAGTGAGTCTGTGCATCTTTGTTAGCATTTTGCTCCAAATATTTTGGTACTTTGTACTAAAAGTCTTCTTTCTCTTAGGCTAAGAAGGCTCAGAAAATGGGGACTTTGATTTATGGTGTGGGTGTGAAAGACTATGAGGCGTCCCAGGTAATGCCAGTCAGGTAACCAGGGGCCACCATGAGCCTAGTTTGGGGAAACCTATCAAGTTGGCTTTCCCAGGGTAGAAATGAACAAGTGTTGTGTAAAACCTACACACGACAAGCAAGGGTGGAAGAGCTTTCCACTGCGTTCGGGTGGGCTGAAGGCAGATGCCAGGGTCTGGGCTTGGAGTGTGACATGGCGTGAGGCAAGGGCCTGTCTCCTGGGTTTGGGACATGCTGTGTCCTCCAGCTCTGGCTGTGGACCTGACCCACCTCCTCTCTCGTGTAGCTGAGTAATGTTGCAGGATCAAAGAATCAAATCTATGAGGCGCGAAAAGGATTCAAGTCCCTGAGAGACATTATTGGCTGGGTGAGTGTGGGCTAAATGTGAGCAGAGGCATGGGGTGGCTTCTCACCAAGCCTGCCGTTCAGTCTCCTGATCCCGCCACCCCTCTCCCTGTTCCAGCTCGTGGTAAATTCCTGTGCAGAAGTTATTCCCGGGGGCTCTTACTATGTCTGTGTAGGAGGTAAGAGCTTGGTCACTGTTCTAGACAGAAGAGTATTTCTGGGTGTGCGCGCGAATGTGTGTATGTGAATGTGGGTGTGTCAGCGTTAGTACGTGATGTGTGTGAGTCTGTTGTGCATATGCGTATGTCATGTGAGTGTGTGCTATATGCGTGGTCGAGTAGACTGTGTGTGGTATGTGTGTATTCACGGTGCTTGTACAGAAATGTGCATTGGGTAGATAAGTGAGTGTGTTTGCTTGGAGTGTGTATGCCAGGGCTTCTGATGTGGGTTTTTTTATGTAGTTACTTTATTTTCCAGTTTTACTAAGATATAATTAACATACAGCACTGTGTAAGTTTAAGGTATACCACATCATGACTTGACATACATTTATTACAAAATGATTACCCCCATAAGTGTAAGCTTCTTTTTAAATCTCCAAACCAAAAGTTTAATGAAAAAATAGGAAAAAATGTTAAAAGCTCTCAACAAAACACTTCAAATGGAATCCAACAACACATAACATAATAACACTTATCCCATCAGCAAAATGGGGAAGAAACAACCTGCTTGTCTCAATGGATGAGAAAAAGAGCTGGACACAGGCCAACATCCAGCATCCACTGGGAGCGGAGCCTGACAAAGGCGTCCGCACAGATGGCACAGCTAACATCACACCAGGGGTCACATGGGGAACGCCTCCCCCTGGGTCTGAACCTGACAAGGACGCCCTGTCTCCCCAGAGGGCTCCCTGCCCCAGTGTGCGCCCGGCATCCTGTGCAGGTGCTTGGTGAGAGGAGCCTCTCTCTGTCGTGTCCTCGCTGTGTGCGGGCGTGTGCGTCCCCGTCTCAGGCTTTGGTCCAGCTGAGGTGGGTGGATGGGCACACTTCTTCCCCTGGCACCAGCACCCAGCCGGATCCAGCCGGATCCAGTCCCAGGCAGCCAGGGCCAGCCTCTGTGCCCTTCAGGCGGTGGTGCCACAGGCCGTGGGTCAGACAGAGCTGTGGGTGTATCTGAGTTCTGCTGCCCGTGGGCCGATTGCCGAGCATCTCGAAGTCCCCCTCTGTCTCCAAGAGGTAGAAAGAACGATGCGCCCTGGCAGACCTGTTGTGAGGGGTGAGACCAGTGGAGTCGACAGTGACGGGCACAGGACCTGGAAGCTGGGAGGCCCTACCCAACAGTAGCCGGGACTAGGATTTCCCTCCTTGATTACTGGCTCTGCCCCCAACCCCTCTGCTGAGCCCAGGTTGGGGAGGGAGGTGGCTCAAGGACAGGCAGGACGAGAGTCTCCAGTTGAGCCAGCTGTTGGTGGCAGCTGTGTGACTCCTCCCACGTTCTGAAGCTGTGACCTGCACTGCGCAGTGTGGAGGTGGGTTAGAGACCCCTCCACACACACGTAGGGTCTTCTCCTGCTTCTCCTGGTTTAAAGCACCCAGCTGTGCAGCTGGCCTGACAGCCTCATTTCTCTGCTTCTGTCCCCTGGACACACACACACAGGCTGTAGCATCTGAGGAGCAGGTCAAACCGCAGGTGAGGATGCGAGTCGTCATTCCTCCCCCGTGGCGGCCCAGCTGAGGTGACAGGTGCCCACTGCACACCCTCTGCCAGCATGGCCAGCGTCCCTGCTCTGCCCTTTTAATCAGTTGCTGTCTTGTCAGAAGCTACCACACAGCGTGACAGTCCCTTGGAGGGAAAGCACAAGGCAGGGCCCTTGACCCCAAATGGAATAGAAGGAGCCATTTCATCAGTCTGTCATCCTGAATCCGAGGGCCAGGGGGCCTGAGGAAGCAGGCGGGAGGGACCACTAGGCATGCGGCCTCTTCAGCCTCTGGGGCTCACTCAGGGTGAGGCTGAGGCCTCTGCTGGCCTCCCTGCCCCTGTGCCTGCACTCCACTCCGTCCTCTGCCCAGGGCCCGAGGGTGCTGAGAAGGCCACTTCCCTAACCCCAGGCCGGCTGGTGGTTGGAGGCTTGTTAGCTGGACAGCGGTGCCCTCTGAGGTCCAGCCTGGCTGTGGGCCCCACCTGCTCCAAGGTGCCATGGGAGGGAGGGGCTGGGCTTCCTGCCAGCCCTTCCTCGGCCTTGCGGGGTCCAGGCCACACATCCTTTGACAGCTTACACTCAGGGCACGTCACCCACAAGCCCTTTCCTGGTCGACTGGCCCCTCTGGCTTCCCAGAGCCCTCGGTCTGTCCCCCTCAGTGGTCACCTGTCCTCCAGTATGTACATGCCTGCTGCTTGGCTGCGTCCACAGATTTCTTCTCCTCATTTAGTTTTGGTTTTCTTCCATCCTTTTATTGTGGGATTTACAGCAAAGTGAAAATGATTTACAATGAGCAACCCCTATATGCACTACCTGGATTTTGCAATTGTCTGACCATGTCGTCTTTATCATTTCTCTCTCTTTCTCTTCATCAATCCATCGCACTTTGGGCTGCATTTCGAAGTATATTACAGTCATCAGCCTATATCACCCCCACACCCCTCACTCTGCGTGTCTTTAAGGGAACAGTATTTGCTAACATGTCTCTCCCAAATGCAGACATCGGCAGTGCATCATTTGATGAGTTCTGACAAACACACACACCACTGTAGCCCAAACCCCATGAAGACAGCGACCATTACGACTGCCCCCAGAAGGTCCCCTCGGGTCCCTTCCCTGGCTTTCCCTGCCCCCACCCGCTGGAGGAGCTGCTCTTCTGATCTCCTTCCGTGGACTAGTTTGGGACTCTGAACCGTCCCCTCAGCGGGCTCACGTGGCGTGAACGCCCTGTCTGCCTGGAGCAGCAGGCACAGTGGTTTGGAGAGTCCTCCCTGCTGTGTGTTTGCTGGGGTTGGACGGGGCTTCTCAGCCCCAGGAGGTAGACTGGAGGGCACCAGGTCATTCTTTCTTGTGCGTGTGATTGGCCCAAGTGAGTCTCTGCAAAGAAGCCCAACAGATGGGGCTCGTCAGTGGCGGCACGTAGTAGGGCCCAGTGCAGAGGAGGGCTTACCTCTGAGGTCCAGCATCCAGGAGCCGCACCGTGGCTGGGAGGCCCTCTGGGTGGAGTGGGCGGGACAGGCTGTGTGATGCAGGAGGACCCTGCAGGGCCAAGGCAGACCCCACTGTGCAGTGCAGGGACTTTCTGCCACCAGCCTGGTGGCTGCTGTGCCTCCGCTGTGATGAAGGTGCCCCTTGTTCCCATCCTCCTGTCTCCCGGAGATAAACACCATAAACAGGGGATTGTAAATATGTGTGCACCTATCTCTGTGTCCCTTGCAGGGATATTTCTACATTAAAGGGATCGTGCACTACATAATACTTTCCAGCTCTCTGCACAGCATTCCGTCCATGGGGGAACCGAGGTTATTTCTTAGTCTGCCTTGGTCGATATTCAGACTGTTCCTAATAAGCTGATAGTACAAGCCACGCTGCCGTGAACATCCCCACAGTTCCCTCCCTGCGGGCCTGGGTCAGATTCCCTGGGATCAATACCAGAAGTAGAATTGCTGCATTAGGGGACACAGGTTAGAAGTTGCTCAGGGATGTCGCATTTCTCTCAGACTCTGTGCCAAGCAGCACCTCCTGTCCCCACACCCCGCCCTCCCCAGGGCAGGGCCCGTCCATCTGTGTGGCCTTCTGGGTCTCATGGCAGTCCTTGCCCCTCCTCGCTGCTCAGCTGCCACCCAGCCTTCTCAGGGGCTGCCCGCCTTCCCAGCTCCTCTGTCTGGAGCCCCAGGAGCCTGGGGTGTCACTTTTCTTCCGGAGGCAAAGCTCTCCTGTCCAGAAGCATTGGTCTCCCTTCCGGGGCGGCCCATCCTTCTGCCCCCGAGAGCTGGTGGGCAGTGGGGCTGGATGTGGGCCATACCGTTCCCTGCACGCCACTTTTAGTCCCTCCTGTGGCTGCATTTCCTTGCGGTGCTTGTTATTGATGGAGGAGTCGGCGTGAGGGCTGCTGGGAAGCAGAAGGAGCAGCTGTGTGGACAGAGCAAAACCCTTTAGCTCCAAGTCTCTTCTGCTCAGACATCTGAAAGCACGCCCCTCCTTCCACTTATGGAGACTTGCCAGCCTAATGAGACCCTCTGTGGGAGCTGCAGGCCCCAGGGACAGAGGGGGCTCTGCTGCAGAGGAGAAGTGGCCACTGAGCGAGGCCTGAGGGCAGCAGGGGCCACAGGGTGGGAGGGAAGGGCATGCAGGAGAGGGGCAGCCTGCGATTTACACGTGGGCTCCGCTTGTTTAAAACACTGGAAGCCTGACAAAACACGTGACAGGCCAACTTGGGCCCACAGCCCAAGAATCTGTTGTGCTCAAGGCTGAGACTCGCCCACTTTGCTTGATGGGTGGGTGCTGCAGGATCCCCTGATGCGGGAGGCACTGGGACTGCCAGGTCCGAGGTTGTGTGTCTTTCCTGAGGAATGGTCCCCTGTTACCTGACCTTGGGCACATCAGCATCTGGGAGTGGAACCAGCCGGGCCTGGGCCAGGAGGCAGCAGTGGAGGCTGCTGACCTTGGGCTTGCAGCAGGAAGACCTGCATGTCATCCTGGCCCACTCCTCAGGCCCAGGCGCCCTCGCTGCCCTCTCTGTATCCCCTGGTATGGGCCTTGGGCAGGGAAGTACCAGGGAGGCCCAGCAGCCTGGCAGTGGGCCCGGGCCCAGAACTGCACCCAAGCATATGAACGTATCCTGTGGTGTACTGAGTGTGGTCCATGAAGGGCCAGGGGAAGCAGTGGACAGCGGTCACCTCCAGCCTCTGGAACTGCAGCTGATCCAGGATTCCCCCTTCCATGGGGGATGCTCCTGTGCCAGATCCTGGACTCCTTGCCTGCCTCCTCTGAGTCCTGGCCCTGCTGCTGGGATCTCCATGCTGCCAGAGGCACACAGAAAGAAGGGAGGAGGAAATGACCCCCAAGTGTCCACAAAGTCCCACCCAGGCCTGAGTACCCACCTCATACAGGAATCTCGGCTGTCTTTAGCCAGTGTAGTCCAGGCTCCTCTCTCATTTATGTGAAGGAGGGCCTGGTGGGGAGCAGGTCCCCTTAGGGTGGACTGTGGGATTTCAAGGTTGGAAACAATGGCTGGGTTTCTCTTATGGAGGGGACAAGGCTGGGTGGGTTTAATGGGCTCCATGGGTCAGGGGCTATGATGAGGGGCCCCCCGAGTCTCAAGTCTAGCCCAGCCACCTCAGCCAACCCTCAGCAACAGCAGGTGGGGATTGTGCCCATGGGGCACAGAGATGCAGGTTCAGGCACAGCTGCTTCCTCCTAGGAGCCTCCTGGGAGTTCCGTTAGGGGCTGGCCAGCCATCACTGTAAGCTCACGGAGGACAGCACGCAGCCGCACTGACACAGACATTTGATGTTGCCTTTGCAGAATCCTACGAAGTGACGTTTCATTTGTCAAGCTCAGCTGACATTAACAAGGATGAAGTTATTTGCAGATACAAGTTGGGATACTCTGAGCCCTTCTGTAAGTAGCCCCTTCAGTGCCTCCATGTGACAGATTTCTCATGCCTTCCCCTCACCCACTGAGCCTTCAAGTCCCTTGCTGACCATTTGCTGTGGATGCTGTAGGGACAGAGGCAGCGTGGACAAGCAGAGGAGGGACCTGGCTGGGAAGCCTGGCCACCTCCCCTTGACCTGCAAGCCGGGAGGTCTCAACTCCCAGTGCCCCAGGAGTATCTTGGAGCAGGGCTTTCCCCCTGCCGGGGCTGGATGTGGGGTGCAGGGTCTGCCCTCACAGCTTCATCCCCCTTGCTTCCCTCAGCTCTCAGTTCCCTATAGAGCCGAGGACCTAATCTCAGAGGTCTGCTGGTGGGAAGTGGAGACAAGCCCCAGGGGTGAGGCTGTGCCAGGTGCACTGGTACCTCTCCCAGGAAGGTGTGTCCCTTTGCAATAAGAGAGGGTGCCACCTGCCGGCCTGGGGCCTGGAATCCTGCCTAGCACACACGTTGCATGTGTGACCCTGACCCAGTGAGCATTCCGTTCTCAGCCTCTGCTTTCTCTGCAGTAAGTGGGGCCACTATGGTGGGTACACTAACTGAGCTCTGTCACATATGGAACCTGGTTTTGGAAATACTCAGGCACCAGGTGGACCCCCATGATGGCTGAGTGGCTTGGGGAAGCACAGAGCTGGGGCAGGCAGATGTGGTGCCCTCAGCGCTGAGGTGGGTGTGACCTTCCCCCTGGATCGGAGCGCTGGGGAACGGTTGGACTGTCTGCCTCCTCCTCCATCCCCAGTTCGCCCTGGATCCCTTCACTTCGTCCGATTGCATGTCATGTTCAGTGACTCGTCCAGGACCATCTGGGAAACCCAGAGAAACTCCTCTCCCCCTGCACACTTGTAGGCCATCTCTCCTTCTTTCCTTGGGTGCCTAGCATGGGGCAGGGCACTGTCAAGGCCACATCCCCTCCTGCAGAGTTGTGCAGACAGCCTGAGGGAATTAGGTTTCCCTTGGTCTGTACTTTCTCTGAGTCACTCCCTTGCATGGAGACTAATGTTTATCGGGCGCTGACTGCAGCAGGTACTGTGCTCAGTGCCTTATACACACCATCCCCATTAATTCTCCAAAGAGACCTATTGTGACCCCTTTGTATGGATCGGGAGCCAGAGGCAGGGATGATTAAAGGGTTTGCCCGGGGCCAAGAGCTGGTGCAGGAAGAGCTGAAAGTACCCACAGGTGACCCGAGTGCCCAGTCTGGCCTTCTGCCCTGTGAGAAGACGGTTCTCAGGAAGGTTGGACGCCCCCTGTCCCCAGGAAGTGTGTTCAGATGCTTCCTCTGTGGTCTCTGGCCGTCCTGCTCTCCCAGCCTGGAGAGGACAGTGTTTCTGTCTGAGGTGGGCCAGGGCCAGGCTCTCACATGGGAGAGCCCGTCCCACAGTCCTGGGCCCCCTGCTGACGGCCGCTCTGCTCCCAGTCAGAGGCTGGCGGGGGGGGCCCCAGGGCGGTGTGTTGCCAGGAGCTCTGCTGCACTGGGGAGGAGTCATTGGGTTGTTTCCAATTACATGTTACCCGGAATGACACATCCAGGAACACGTTTTAGGAAATAGAAGCATGAAGAAGAAAAATGTTTAAAGAGTTTTCAATATTTCACTCTTAATTAATCTGCTTTTATCATGCAATGTTTTTATAACTTCAGACATTTTCTAAAAGTGGCAACTGAAGTTTTGGGTTTAATCAGCTAATAATGGTTTGAAAACTCCTCTCCAGCCGCCATGATTTGCGGGGCCCTCGGTGTGCCGGCTGCTGCCATCGCCTCCTTCCCCCTGCTCTGGCCTGTGAACACCCTACTGGACAGTCATTGAATTTCTTTGTGGTTTTGCATTGTGCCCCTCAGACACAAATCCTTTCCCCTAAGCATCCTTGGCGATCAGTGTTCATTCTCAGCACCAGTGAAGGAGAAACACAGTTCAGAAGGTCAGAGCGAATCTAGAGGTGGAGCCAGGGAGCTGGCCCACGAGGAAATGAACGAGTCTGTAGGGAAGAGACCTGACCTGTGGTTAGTCCTGGCTCAGAAAGGACTTTGGGCTCAGGACTGAAGCTTCCACAGCTCCGAGTTATGGAAGTGTGTTGAGCCTGGTGAGTGCCACCTCCACAGAAAACCCAGAAAACAGGAAGCCCCCATTCCCTCCTCAGTGCCCCCATCTCAGTGGTACCACCATCCACCTGGTCACTCTGGTCAAAAACCTGCGTGTCATCCTGGATTCGTCTTTGCTTTCTTCCCCACGTCCAGTCTACCAGCAAGTCCTCTTGCCTCTGTGTCCAAAGTACAACCAGGTCTGGGCAGCCCCTGGATGGATTCACTGTGCTCAGAATAAAACCAAAACCCCTCCCAGGGTCCACGAGGCCCACCCACCTGTCCTCACTCACTCCTCTCCTCCTCAGCAAGCTCAGGTAGTCATGCCTCAGGGCCTTGGCACATACCCTCCCACAGCCCAGAACACTCTTCCTTGGATCTCTCCCTGGCTTTCCCCTCATCTGGTTTCAGCTCCAGAATCACCTCCTCAGAGAGCCCTTATTTTTAATGGAAACTTTCAGTAATACACAAAAGGAGCATAAGTTGTTTTATGAACTTTTAGCAGCCTCTGCCTACTTTCAGTAGTTGTCAACTTTGGCCAGTGTGGGTTTGTTGATACCCGCACCACTGGTTATTTTGAAGCAAATCCCAGACATCGCATCATTTCATGTGTAAATTTCCATTTTCTCTAAAATAGAAATTGCGTCTCTGAGAGGCAGACAGGTCCCCCGGCCCTGAACAGCTGTCCTTCCCCTTGTTCTCTGCCCCTTCCCTTGTCTAGGGACGTCACAGTACTCTTCACTCTGGCGTTCATTTGCTCGCTGTGAGTTATTTCATTGTGTGTGTCCCTCTCCAGTCCCTCAGATGTGAGGCCCTAGAGAGCAGGGACCCTGCCGGCCTGTTCCCATTACACCCCAGAGCACTGCCCCGCGCCTGGTGCAGGGTGGGAGCGCGGAGATGTCGTTGGACAGAAGGAGGCAGAGAGGAGCTGGCGTCTGCCCAAGTGTTGGCCCTGCTTGCCAGGGGCAGGGAGAGGGGAGAGCGGGGTGGATGGACGGGTCCACTGACATCATTCTCCTGTGATCTTCTCTTAGATAAGAATGCCACCTCTGTGCAACGAGGCTCGGTAGTTTGCCCTGGACACGTATTTAAGCGTGGTGGACAGTAAGTGTCTGGGTCAGGGGCCACATGGTCCATTTTTGCCACCATGAGGTGTCCAGAATGTAGGATGCCACCTCTGCTGGGACAGCACATGTCTTCTTCTGGGAGAATTGAGGTTATCCCCAGCATCTGCCCTCGGTGGTGGTCCCCTGAGGTGCTCAGTGATCTGCTGTGGCCCCGGATCTGTTGACAGCAGGCTGCAGGAGCTGGAGGTGTCCCCCGGGAGGGTATCTTTGCTCCAGGCAGCCTTTCAAGGCTGAACCAACATACCCTGTACATCCAGAAGAGCCAGGATGGTGACTGTATGATCCTCCCTGGTCATTTAGCCCATGGCCGAAAGGGCCTCTGGCCCCGTACAAGGCTCCTCACTCTCTGGTCAGCCTTCAGTGCAGAGCTTGACCTTATAGTGTTTGGGGTGAAGTCTCCTTACCATGCTGTCTACTCTCTGGTGGCCCTATGGCCTGATATTCATGGTCATTGCAATGCGGACACCTGTGGGCTGTGGTGTGAGCCAAGGGCAGGGAGAAGTGGAGAGATGGATGGGTTCCTGTCCACGTATCAGTGCCATCCGAGCTGGTGGTCACAATCTGCCCTTTCTGTACTTTAGGGAGGTCAGCATTCAAAGCAGCCAGGACAATGGCACTTTCTACGAGAAACCAATGACACTCGTCAGCATCACTTGTGTGAGTGTCAGGGTGGGGCCGCACCCTCCGTCCCGGGCTGTCCAGAACCCCCGCACTGGAGGGAGAGACACCCTGGGGAGGCAGGAGAGGGCAACAACGATCCCAGGCAGGCCCACCAAGTAGCTTGTGCAGACAGGCATCTGGGGCAGCATCCCACAGGCAGCCTGGGCCCTTAGCCCTTCCTTGGGGACACATTCCACCCTCATGTGTGGCAAGGGCCCTGGGGGTGCTTCTATAAGAGCACTAGGGGGGCAGCCAGCTGGCCAGGCCTTGCAGAACCTCTGCTCTTTGTGAACCAAGTGTCATGAAGGCGTGTGGAAGGGACCAATTAGAGCTCGACTCCAACTCCAGAGATGGTGCTAAGGCTCTACCAACCCTGTCTCCCACCGGCTACCTCCCTGGCCTGGGGCTAGTGGTGGGACATCAGGGCTGCATCCTGGCTTCCAGCTGGGGCAAGCAGGAGATGCTGAAGGATGTGTGCTAGGAGCCAGGTCCAGGACCTCTGGGGCTCCCGGGCCCTCCAAATCGGGGTCCCAGGCACAGGGGATCTGGAGGGTGGCACCTGTGGCCGTGCACAGCAGGGTGTGTTTCCCCTGCATTCGTGCCCAAGCAGCTGGCACAGCTCTGAACCTACTCAGGACCATCACAGCCCTGCCCCACGTGGCTGGAGGAGCAGCCGCCATCATTTGGCTGATGTCTTTAGCCTGCCTCCTGCCTCTCCTCCTCTCTCCTGCTCCTCAGGGCCCCCTGTGCTAACACTCTCACCCCTGCAGGGAGGGTCTCTCCTCTTTTGGTGGGGAAGAAGTCAGGGCTGTGGGGTGGGCCCGGGCTCAGCTCAGGGAGAGGCACCTGGGAAGGGGGGCTGCTCCCAGGAACCCACTTTTCCGAGCTTCTCATCATCCAGGCACCTTAGCCAGGGGCGGCAGGCTTGGGTGACAGAGAGTCAGGCTGGAGGGGAGGTGTGCCTGGAGGAGGGACGCCTGCACCAGTGCCCACCCCATGTCCAGGACCAGCTTGGGAGGGTGCCAGCAGGGCGGACAGTTGCCATCTGGTCTGTCTCCGCTTGTCCCTGATGTCCACACCCGGGCCGTCAGCTGCACTTCGGCCTGTGCCCATCAGGAGTGCCGCCCACGACAGCCGCCCTGCACAGGCGCGTGCAGGAGGAGCTCAGGAGCAGCCGCGGCTCCCCGTGGGCCTGGGCTTCGCCTCCCTCCAGTGCCCGTTTGCGTGCACGGCCCTCTCTTCCCGCTTCCCTCTCTGCCTCTCCAAGAGCAGAGCCCTGGTCGGGGCAGGGCTGTGCAGCATGCGATCCACGGGGGCAGCGCACTTTCCTGTGGTCGTGCAGACCAGGAGCAGAGCTCCCGTGTCTTAGGCCCCCACGTGGACCTCGCCTGACCTGGACCTCAGTGAATGCTCTCAGCCTCACCAGTGCCCACCCAGGGCCTCGTTACGGAGGTGGACAGAGGCTCAGAGAGACTGAGTCGCCTTGCCCAGGGTTGCAGAGCCAGACAGTGGGGGGAGAGGCGATGGGAGCTGGACCCAGGGCTCCCGCCCCTGCTCTTGCACCCCCACCTCCATGGGCTCAGCAGCCCCTCCTCACCCATCAGGGTCTCTCTAGCCCTCTGTGGTCTTCACAACACCCTCATACTGTCAGCAGAGGCGTGCAGTGAGGCAGGGTTTGGTCACAGCATGGAAGGTTCCAGAAGACCTTGACAGGGCTCTGGGGCACAGACTCTCAGCAGAGACACTGGTGGGGTCTGGCCCAAGGCTCCACAGTGGCTCTGTGTGTACCGGCCCGGCCTCCTAGTCCTGCTGTGGTCCCTCAGGGAGGGACAACCCGAGGAGAAGTGGGAGCTGGCAGATGAGTATTTCTGGTGTGGGAAGCCAGGTGGTGGGCGCGTGGGAAGAAGCCACTAAGACCCACCCCAGGCCACTACCATGTGTGCTTTCTGTAGCCAGATGCCACGACAGTACCAAAGGAAACCTCAATACCCACGACTGCCACACAGAAGGCCACAGTGCTCACCACTGTCACACAGAAGAAAACCACAGTGACCACGACTGTAACACAGGAGGCCCCGGTGCCCACGGTTGTCACACAGAAAGAGACCTCAGTGCCCACGACTGTCACACAGAAGGCGACCCCGGTGCCCATGACTGTCACACAGAAGGCGACCCCGGTGCCCACGACTGTCACACAGAAGGAGACCTCGGTGCCCACGGTGGCCCCACCCGGCCTGAGCCCCGACAACCCTCTCTTCTTCCCTGTGCTCGTCCCAGCCGTGCTCATCATCCCTGTGCTGATATGCTGCATCTGGTACTGCAGGAGAGTGAGTGACCCCACCACCACAGCCCTGGGGCCCCAGGCCATGAGCTCCCCCAAGGGACCCAGATGCCCGCCTACCCCATGATCCTGCCTGTGGGCAGGTTCCCGTCAGCTCCAGGGCCATCACATGAGCAGCAGAGGCACAGACTCTGTCCTACATTCCTGGGCACAGACACAGCTGGGCTGGCTTCTCAGGAGCCTCCTGGCTCATGCTCGCTTCAGGGAGGTGGCCTCCAGCTGCCCTGGGCCTGGGGAGACGTGACCCCCACCCCTGAGACCAGGACTGCCTCAGAGCAGCCAGGCTTCTGGAGGACTCAGGGGGACTGGAGGCCGGGAGAGGCCTCAGCTGTTAGGGAAGAAGAGGGGTCTGCAGGGGGCACAGATGGCCCCAAAGGGAGACTGATGCTGGCAGGGGGATTCGGAACCTTTGAAAGGCAACAGGGATGTTGCTCATCTCTAGTGCGTTCCTCAGTCCTTCCTCAGTCATTACTAAGCACCAGGATGTGCTGGGCCCCATGCTGGGTGCTGAGGGACAGAAGTGAAGCGGCCTCCCTCCTTGCCCGCAGGAGCTGACAGCCTAGAATCTGGTCCGGTTTAGTGCCTGGGGGTATTGAGGGTAAAATCTCAATCTTCATAGGGTGTGACAAGTGCCCTGTGTAGCCAGAGCAAGCGGGAAGGACAGAGACTTGCCCAGGGGAGGGAGGGAAGGCCGAGGCTCTGGCTAGCTGGCTTTGAGGGACACAGGCCAGAGAGCTGGAGGGAGACAGGAAGCAGCAGAGGTGTGGAGGGGCTGAGCAACCAGCAAGAAGCAGGTCTGGATTCCCGCAAAGGGGAAGCAGTGAGGAGAGGATGCCCGGGGTCGGGGACTGACATCCCTGAGGGCTGGGCAGCCAGGGAGGGCTGCAGGGCCTGGGGGGAAAGGGGGAGGACAGGACGGGGAGGGTTCTCTTGTTCATGTGATGTAAAGCTGCTGAGGACAGGACCAGGCGGGTGTGTCCACCAGGGACCAGGCCCTTAGTGTGCTGTGTCCCCGTGACCCTCCAGGGAGGGACCAATTCCCCTTTGATAACCAGGGAGCCTGGGGCTCAGGAACCTGGAGGCTGTTGACCACCCAGCACAGGCAAGGGTTGCCCAGATGACACCCCAAAGCCCACGTTCTGTCCCTCTGCTGCAGAGCAGGAGCCCGGCCTGTCCTCACAGCTGAGCCAGAGCTCTCCACCTCCCTCCCAGCCTGGGTTTATGTCTCTTTAACCTTCTAGACCGTCAAGGAGCCACCACCAGCGCAGAAAGCAGAAAAGGTAGGTGGTGTTTGGTCTGGACGCTGTCAGCAGGCCTGATGTGCACACTGACCTTCCCGGAGAGGCCTCCTGCAGCCTGTGGGGACATTTCCACTCGCGCCCACCAGCTCCTGACTACCTGGGCACAGAGAGCTGGCAGAAAGAAGAGGGCAACAGAGGAGCAGGGAGGGGCACTGGGGAGGATATGGGACTCACGAAATGTTCCCCAGACAACACCCTTGCTGTGCTCCCAACCCAACGTGACGCAGGGCTTTTGTCACTGATTAGGGACTTGGTATAGCGTGGTTCAGCAACTGCTAGGATCCCTGCTGAAATGCATGGGGCATGTTGGCCAGTTCCCAAAGACTGCCTGTGGGATGGGCCTTCCCAGGCCTCAGGGGAACCTCTAGAAAGGGGGTCTCAGGTTTCAGGGAGCTGTTGCCCTCTGGGTCTCCCGGATGTTGGCTCTTTTCAGTTGGTCTCCATCCCTGTGCCCTGGCTGGGTGAGGGGCTTGCTGGGGTTGGCCTTAGGGTCTGCAGGGCTCAGGAGGCTGAGCCAGTCTTAGTTGGCATTGAGCTGTGAGGGCGGCCCAGCCCAGGTGAGCATGGGGTCAAGGGTCACGGGAGCAGGCTGTGGCTCTCCTGGGGTGGGGCAAGCCAGGCCCATGGGAAGTAGTCAGAGCTGGGGCCCGGAGTACCCAGGAAGGAGCACTGGGCTTGGGATTTGGCAGGCAACCGGCCTCACTGCCCTGGAGGCCTCTGCACTAGTTGTAGGGTGGCCTGGGTGGCTGGCTCTGCCCGAGGCAGGTGAATGGAGTCCTGTCTCCTGGAAATTGTCTCAGCCTGATGGCCCCTGTGATGTTGCTCGGCCTCACTCCAGGCTTCTCCAGCAGGGGTGGCCTCTGGAAACCAAGGGGAAGGACAGGATTGTTTGGCTGTGTGGGAGAGCCATTTTCACAAACCCAAAGGAGTTTGCTTGTTTTTCACATGGAGCCCGCCCTCCTGTGGTGCAGGATGCTGCTCATTTGTCCTTGAACTCTCCAACCAGCACTTGCTGAGTGGCCAGTGCTTGACAGGTGTTAGTGACCAGACGTCATGTGTCTGCACCCCAGGAGCTGCCAGACATGAAGCCGACTCTGTTTTCTCTTCCCAGGAGCCAGAGACATGCCCCACAGTGATTGTCCCTTGGTGTGAGTGCCAACAAGACAGGATAAGACGGATGGAGGTGAGAAAGGCTGCTAGGGAGGGCTGTCACCTCTGGGCTGGGGTGGAAGGAGAGGGCCCGCTGGTTCATGCTGCACAGGCTGGGCCCAAAGGCACGGCTTGGGTGGAGATGAGCTTTATGGGCACTGGACGTGGCTCACTTGGTGCCAGAGAAAAACCCAAGGACTTCTGGACCCTATGGGCAAAAAGTCTGAGGGCTCCTGCTCCCACCACCACCAGGAGGGTCCCTTTCTGGTCTGTTCCCTGTCTTCACTTCCTGCTCCCTCTCCACCCGCTCCCCTGTGTGAGGAACCTGCCCCCAGCAGGGCATGGGTCCTCTTCCTACCTTCTCCTGTGGCCCCCCAGATGAGACCCTCTTCCCCTCTTCTTTGGATCCAGCCCAGGTACCCTTGCCCACCTCCCATTTCTCCTTCAAGACCCTCCTTGGCCACCACATGTCTCCTCCAACCTTAGAACTTTTCCTCGGAAAGTTGCCCCTGACTTGTCCTCCTGCACCAAAAATACTGATTCGTTCCAGATTTCCTGAACGGTGTGTCCCCCACAGTGACTGCCCCCACCCAAAACAAGCCAGGCGCCAGACACCCTCCCCCAGGGGAGGCTGCAGTGCTGTGCCAGCGAGTACATGGGGACAGAGCCCCTGAGAGCAGCAGGGGCCACCACCCCTGGGAAACAGCATCCCCGCCTACAGCTTGCTGACAGCCACTTGTGCCTTTCAGGGTAAACTGGATACCTTGTGCAACTTTGTTCAAAGCTGCAACCAGGTGCCGTTGATGTGGAGAGACAAGGTAAGCTGGGCACAGGCTTGCTCCGCATGGGACAGGGACCTTGCTTTTGCCCTGGACAGTTGTGCTCTGCGACTGTGGGTAATGTGCAAAGGAGGAATGGCCCAGACATGGAGACAGGGTGCTCAGGGCCTCACAGGCCCCTTCTGGACATGACTGCTGCGTTTCCACACACTGTCGGCTCAGGAACGTGGGGAGCTTTCTCATCTGGAGCAATAGGCAGCTCTTCCAAACTGAAGTGAAAGGGCTGCAGAGGCTGGTAGCCCAGTGCGTGCCGTGGCCTCCCGGGCCATGGCCCTCCCCACGGCCCACCGGGCCCTGTGGGTCTGCTGGCTCCCCGCCTCCACTGAGGAGCCAGGAGTGGAGGAGGGCATGGTGACACCCTCCCGAATGTTGTCTGTGCAACACTGCCTGGCTTCACCAGCTATAAATGTTCTGTTCTGTGTCATTACCTGTGACAACAAGGAGAAGCCAAATTGTCACAATTGTCATGTTGAAATTTAATAATGAGGCTAATTTTTATTGAGTCCTTCCCATGGACCCGTTGCTAGCATAAGAACTTCACAGGTTTGCCATCTGCGTACTCCCAGTAAGTGTTCGTGTAGGGACTAGTATTATCCCAGTGTCACCAAGGGGGGAGCTGACGCACAGAGAGGCTGAGTGAGTTGTCCCTGGTCACAAAGCCTCGGAGTGGCCGAGCTGGACTTGAGCCCTGACCTAGGCCCCACCATTCTCCCTGCCCTGCCCCCCTTTTGGGTCAGCACTCATGATCTCAGGATGGTTTCCCCCAAATCACTGCAGGGCTGCCCTCCTCAGGTCCCTGGGCCCTAGGAGAGCAGTGGGCCCAGCTCACTGAGGCTCCTCGACCTGGGTCCCCATGCTCACTTCCTTGGCGCAGGCTGGGCTAGGGGCCTGGAGGGCCTTGTGGTCCCCAGGGTCTGACGTGAGGGCTGCATTGGCCACCTTCAGGGAACACTGGGTCTTGGTGGCAGGGTAGGTAGCGTTTCAGAAGCAGTATCATGCTCTTCCTCAAACAAGGTGCCCACGGGTGCTGCTGCCTCCAGAGCCTGTCACGCATCGGAGGGTGCCGCCACCCACCTTGCCCTGGGGAACTGGAGCCCAGCCTGACGGCTCATCCCTTCAGCACACGCTCACCGAGAAAGCCTGGGCAACACTGGGGCTCAGGTGGCAGTCGGGCCTCTTCCTTGCCCCCAGGCTCCCAGTCCAGGGGCAAGCAGAAAAATTCAACACCAGAGCAAAAGGCGTCTAGACTCAGAAAACTGGAGCTGCCCAGGAAGGCAGGGCAGACTTCCGGTGCCTGAAGAGCATCTCAGAATAGGAATCCAGGCTGGAGGCCAGCACCTGAGAAAAGCAAGGGCAGCGATAAAGGTCCACCCTGTGGGTCCAGATGGATCGTGAGCCTGATCCTCTTGAGCCACAAAAACCACAGCCTTCTGCTCCGGATTCAGTGTCTTCTCAGTGACCTTCTCTCGCTTCCCTTCCCTGCAGGGGAGATGCATCAACTTCACCCTAGTGAAGCCACCCTGCGTGCAGATGCCCTGCGGCTCAAATATCTGCCTTCGACCCAGCCAGGAGAGCTTCCCCCTCAACAGCTGCTGCTCACGGGGTCAACCCCTGCGAGCCATCTGCTCCCGGCCTGCCTCCAGGATGCTGCCGCTCATCCCCCCCCATGCCCAGGCACTCTGCAGAACTACTTTGTCACTCCCACCCCCATAGTTTGAGCTCTAAAGCACCAGAAACCCAAGATTGTTAAGAACCCCTTGTGTACTGAATTGTACATATATATTGAGTCTTGGTTTACAGTCAAAAAGAATTGGAATTTGTTGCTGATCAGCAAGAGAGTTTGGTACCAGGTGAGTGTTGCCTCATGGTATGAGTTATATCAATACTGCTTCTGCAGGGACAAAGCACCCTAGTGTCCTGTGGATGCAGACATGGATGCGTCCCACTCCTCATAGCCTGGTCTTCATCTCTCACCAAGGGCTGGGCCACGTGGGGTTTTAGCAAAATTCTGCTCTTGGAAAAAGCTCACAACATCTTTGAAATATGACTCCAATCTTGTATGTATCACCCAGTGGCTGTCCCTTATTCTCTTGGGCAAGTTATTAACCTTCCTGTGCTTCAGTTTCCTCACTGAAAGGAGGAAAGCAGGGAGCATAACCAGAAAATCCAGGAAGGTGCATAGCCCATCCTACTGCCCCACTTGCAGTGGCACCAAGCAGAGACTGCAGCCAGCAAATCTTCCTGTGTGCATAACTGAGCTGGTGGCCTTGTCTGACCAGAGAACTTGGTAGAGTTGTGCTTGATTCAGGTCCCTAGCCAATGAACCATGCTGGCCTTGGGGTGTGTTCTGTCATTCTCCCTAGGCGGGGGAATGGGTACATGGCCCCATTTACTACTGAGTAGAGCACTAGGAGGCCTGACCAGAGAATCTAGGCAAGTATGTAGCTCATCCTACAGCCACACTTGAGCATGAAAGAAAGACAGCTGTGCTATCTATATGTTCCCAGCCACTGGCACCCTGCTGACTTCAGAGTTTAAGCAATGGCCTCACCCAAATAGAGACCCCAATAGCAAGCCCCACTTACCCAACCATGCTCCCTGCTGACCTCTCCAGTACCCTAACCAAGCTAACTAGTGAAGGCTCTGTCTTAACTAGTGACAGACTGTCTCTGTCAAAGCACACTTGTAAAGTAGGGAAGAGGAGACGACTTACTCAGATGTGCACCTACCAACACAATGAATCAGGGATCATGATGAATCAGGGAAACATGACACAGCCAAAGAAAACTACTAAAGCACCAATAACTGACTTTAAAGAAATGGAGATCTATGAACTTCCTGATAAAAAAATTCAGAATAATCCTTGTTAAGCAGTTTAGTGAACTACAAGAACAGACAGAAAAGTAAGCAAAATTAAGAAAGCAATGCATGAACAAAATGACAAGAACAAAAACCATAAACCATCCAAAGAGCATGTTGAAAACTAGAGCTGAAGAGTACAATGACTTTACTATAGAAAACAATAGCAAGAGCAAACTCAATCAAGCAGAAGAAAGAACCAGTGAACTAAAAGATAGGTCACTTGAAATTATCTGAGGAGTAAAAGGAAAAAAGAATTAAAGAGAGCGAAGAAAGACTGTGAATTATGGGACATCATCAGCCGAACCAATATATGAATTAGCAGAATCCTAGAATGAGAAGAGAGAGAGAAAGGGAAAGTATTTTAAAACAATAAGAGTTGAAAAATTACCAAGCATGCAGGGAGAAATGGACATCCAGATTCATAGGGCCAAAGGAAAACAAATATGTTGAATCTGAAAGGGCTGTACTGGGACACATTATAAGTAAATTGTCAAAAACCAAAGAAAGAGAAAATTTAGAAAGCAGCAAGAGAAAAGTGAGTTGTCGCATGCAGGGAAGCCCCATAAGACTTAGGCTGGATTTCTGAACAGAAACTTTGCAGGCCAGGAGAGAGAGGGATAATATATTCAAATATTGAAATAAAAAACTAACAACCAATAATACTACACCCAGAAAAGCTGTTCTTCAGAGATGAAGAAGAGATAACAACATTCCCAGCAAACAGAGGATGGAGTTCATAACCAGTAGACCTGTCTCACAAGAAATGCTAAAGCATACTCAACAGCTGGAAATAAAGGATAATTAACATCATGAAAACATATTAACATATTTCTAAAACTCACCAGCAATCAGAAATATATTGCCAAAGACAGATCTCTACTACTGTCATGTTGGTGTGTAATTCACATAGAACACCTGTATAAAAGTTTTAAAAACTGCATTAACCATAACTACAATAATTTGTTATTGAATACACAAGATGAAAAGTGTGTTAATTTTAACATCACTAACCTAAAATGTGTGGGATTGAGAAGTGAAAGGATACCATTTACATATAATATGAATCTTAAATTGTTATTAGCTTAAAATAGGATATTATGAATATAACATTTCATGAAAGGCTCATGATAACCAGAAAGTAAAAAGTTATATTAGACACTTAAAGATTACAAAAAAGGAGTCCAGGCATACCCTTCCAAAAAGTCATCAAATAACAAAAGAAGATCAAGATGAGAAGAAAGGAACAATGCACCTATAAAGCAGACAGAAAGCAATTAAGAAAATAGAAATAGGAAGTCCTTATCTATCAAGAATTACTTTTAACATGAAAGAATTAAATTCTCTAATCAGAAAACTTAGAATGGCTGAATGGATATAAAATAAGATGCAACAATAGGCTGCATACAAGAGACTCTCTTTTCCTTTAAAGACACACACAGACTGACAGTGAAGGGATGAAAAAGATATTTCAAGCAAATGGTAATCAAAAGACAGCACTGATAGCTATACTTAAACAAAATAGACTGTAAACTAAAAATGGTCAAGACACAAGAAGGTCATTATATAATGATAAAGAGTTCAACCCACCAAGAAGATGTAACAATTGTAAATATTTATGCCTGCAACATTAGACTACCTCAAAATAGAAAGCAATTACTAACAGAACAAAAGAAGAAAGAAACAGCAGTACAGTAATAGTGGGGGACTCGAAATACCCCACTCTCAACAATAGAAACATCATCCAGATAGAGAATTGATAAGAAAACCACAGATTTGAACAACACGATATACATCAAACAAGACCTAGCAGACATATACATTCCATTCCATCCAACAGCAGCAGAATGCAAATTTTTCTTAACTGCCTATGGAACATTTTCTAGGATAGATTATATGTTAGGCCACACAACAAATCTTAGCAAATTTAAGAAGACTGAAATCACGCCAAGTATCTTTTCCAACCACAATGGTATGAAACTAGAAATGAATAACATGAAGAAAGGTGAAAGATATCAAATAGGGGAAATTATGTGAACAACCAGTAAATCAAAAGGAAAACGTTTTAAATCTTGACAAATGAAAATGGAAACACAGCATAAGAAAATGTATGGGATGCAGCAAAAGCAGTTTAAGAGGGAAGTCTACAGCAATAAACACGTCAAGAAAAAAGCAAGATCTGTAATACCTTTACACCTCAAGGAACTAGGGGGAAAAACTAAGCAAAAATTTATCAGAAGGAAGAATATAATAAAGATTGGAGCAGAAATAAATGAGGTCAAGAACAAGAAAACAATAGAAAAGATTAAGAAAACTAAGAGTTGACAATCTTTTATTTAGACGGACCAAGAAAAGGAAAGGGGGCCGAAATCTATAAAATTATAAATGAAAGAGAAGATATTGGAACTGATACCACACAAATACAAGGATAAGAAAAATCTACCATTAACAACTACACACCAGCAAAGTGGACAGTTTGGAAGAAATGGAAAATTCCTAGAAATACAACCTACCAATATTGAATCATGAAGGAACAGAAAATCTGAATAGACCCACAATGAGTAAGTACACTCAATCTGTAATCAAAGACCTCTTAACAAAGAAAATTCCAAAACTAGATGGTTTCACTGGTGAATACTACCAAAGATTTAAAGAAGAATTAACATTACTCCTTCCCAAACTCTTGCAGAAAATTGAAAGGGAGAGAGTATTCCCCAATGCATTTTACAAGGCCAGCATTACCCTGATACCAAAGCCAGACCAGGACACTACAAGAAAGAAACCCACAGGCCAAAATCCTTGGTGAATATAATGCAGAAATTCCCAACAAAATACTAGCAAACCAAAGTCAGCAGCACACTAAAAGGATCTTATACCATCATCAAGTGGTATTCCTCCATGGAATTCAAGGATGGTTCAACATACACAAATCAATACCTGCGATACATCTCATTAATAGAATTAAAGAACAAAATCATATGATAATCTCAGTAGATGCAGAAAAAGCACTTGACAAAATTCAGCATCCATTCCTAACAAAAACTCTCAACAAATTGGGTATGGAAGGCCATGTATGACAACCCACGGCTAACATCATTCCCTATGATGAAAGGTTGAAAGCTTATCCTCTAAGATGAAGAAGAAGACAAGCTACCCCACTATCACCAATCCTATTCAACATATACTGGAGGTTCAGCCAGAGCAATAAGGCAAGAGAAGTAAATAAAAGGCATCTAAATCAAAAATGAAAAAGGAAAACTTTCCCTATTCACAGATGACCTGATTTTATATAGGAAATCCAGAGACTCCACCAAAAAACTATTAGGTTTGATTAACAAATTCAGAAAAGTTGCAGAAGACAAAAATCAATCTAACAAACATTACTAGCATGTCTGTTAACAGTAACTTGTCTGAAGAAGAAATAAAGCAATGACTTTTACAAGAACAAGACAAACAATAAAACACTTAGGAATAAACATAAGCAAGGAGATGAAAGATCTGCCTACAGAAACTATAAGTGATTGATGAAGGAATAAATGAATGGAAAGATAACACATGTTCATGCATCAGAAGAATTAATATTGTTAAAATGTCTGTACTCCTTAAAGTCATCCACTGATTCAAAGCAATCTTTATCAAGATCCTAATGACATTTTTTATAGAAAAAAAATTTTGTAAAACTCACTTGGAATGACAAGTGAGTCTAAAGAGCCAAAGCAACTGAGAAAGAACAAACGCAGGGCATCACCCTTCCTGACTTCAAATTTTATTACAAAGTTACAGTGATTGATACAGTAGGCACTGGCTTAAAAACAGACAAGAGGAACTAGGGAACAGAATTGACATCCAGTGATAAATCCTTGTATGTACAGTCAAGTAATATTTGACAAGGGAACCAAGAACACTGAAGGCAGAAAAGACAGTGTCTTCAATAAATGGTGCTAGGAAAGTATGATATTCACATGCAAAAGGATGGAACTACACCCTTAGCTTACACCACTCACGGAAATTAACTGGAAATGGACTGAAGACTTAAATGTAAGACCTGAAACCATTAGCTCCTAGAAGAAAACATACAGAAGAAGCTGCTTCACATTGGAGTTGGCAATAATTTTTTGGATATAATACCAAAAGCACAAGCAACCAAAGCAAATAAACAAGTAGGACTATACTACATCAAACTAAAAAGCTTTTGCACAGCAAAAGAAATCAACAAAGTGAAAAAGGAACCTATGGAACAGGGTAAAATATTTGCAAACCCATGTCTCGTAAGGGGTTAATATCCAAAATATAAAAGGAACCGATACAAATCACTTGCAAAAGATAATCTGATGAAAAAAACGGACCAAGGACCTGAACAGACATTTAACCAAGGAAAATAGTCCAATGACCAACAGCTACATGAATAGGTGCTCAACATCACTAATCCCAGGGAAATGAAAACCAAAATCACAAGGAGATACCACCTCACACCTAGTAGCATGGCTATCATCAAAAAACACAAGACATAACAATGCTGAAGAGATGTGGAGAAAAGGGAACTGTGTACACTGCTGGTGGGAACGTAAGCTGGTACATCCACTATGGACCACGTTATGGAGGTTCCTCAAAACATTCTAAGTAGAACTACCAAATGGTCCAGCAATTCCACTTCTGAGCATAATGTGAGGAAAATAAAATCAGTAACCTGAAGAAATGTCTGCACCCCCATATTCACTGTAGTGTTATTTACGATAGCCAAGATAGGGAAATGATCCCAGTGTCCACTAACAGATGAATGGGTAGAGACAATGTGGTACATGTATACCATGGAATACTATTCAGCTGTCAAGAAGAAGGAAATCCTGCCATTTGCAACAAGATGGATGGACCTTGAAGGCATTATTGTAAGTGAATATGTCCGACAGGGAAAGACAAATACTATATGATTTCACTGATTGTGAAATTAAAAGGAAAAGACGAAAGGAACTCATAGATCCAGAAACAGATGGGTGGTTGTCAGAATCAAGGGGTGCAGGGTGGGGGAAATGGGGGAAGGTGGTCAAAGGTTATAAAGCTCCAGTACAAGTCACCAGCTGCCCTGGCAGCACGTGGACCTGTGCAGCCCTTGTTCTCCCTGCTCTGATCCAATGGTAAAGGACCCTTTGCCGACCTCCGCTCTCCTCAATAGCCTCACTTCATTCTGGGCTCTCGCCCCCCGACAACATTTCCTGGTCCCCATCACTCTATCATGTGTGTGTCCTGAAAGGGGTTTTCTTTTCTTGGTGAGGAAGATTTCGCCTGAACCAACATCCATTGCCAATCTTCCTCTTTTTTTTTTTTTTTTGAGGAAGATTAGCCCTGAGCTAACATCTGTGCCAATCTTTCCTCTGCTTTGTATGTGGGATGCCTCCAGAGCATGGCTGATGAGTAGAGTAGGTCTGCACCTGGGATGCGAACCCACGAACCCGGGCCACTGAGGCGGAGCGTGCGGACCTGCAACCACCATGTTGGGGGGCCAGTGAAAGGGGCTTCTCTTGTCCTCCTTCATTCTTCGACAACCCTCTCAGCCATGCAGACATCTTTCAGCACCACCCTGTGTCCTTCCTGTTGAAAGCATCTGATTTCAATCCATACTCTGCAACCTTTTCTGAGCCCTTTCTTGGGATCAGTAAGCACCAATCTTGGAAATTTTCTGAAACTGAACTCCCCAAGTTGACAGGGCGTCTCACCACATCCAGCCTTCCCTCCCATAGAGGATACATCTGCCTCAGGCTTTCAACACTCCTCGGCCACCAACCATGCTTCTACAGACCAACACAGGACATGTGACATTGTTGGACAGGAAGCTGCGCCCACTGCATGGTGTCAGAGCCCATGTTTCTTTGTTTATTACGCAGTTCCAGGGCCTGACTGTAAGCTCAGCTAATGGAACCAAGGCCCACCATCCCAGCTGCCTCTGGCCAGTGCTGGGCACCTCGTGGTTGGGGCACCTGGAGGACGTCCTGGCGTGGGCTGCCCCACAGTGCATTCAGCCCCTGCTGTCTTTGGAGGTGGCACCCTGGCCAGGGCAGAGGCTGCACTTGCCACTGCTCACTCACCCTGAGCCTCACGACCTCTCCTCTCTTGGGTCTTCGGGACCCGCGTGACAACCAGGATGTCAGCCCAGGGCATTCCGACTGGGTGGCTACAGATCTTCCATGTGCAGCCATAAGACCCCTCAGCATCGTGGACAGTCATTCCTTCTCCCAGGTGAGAACCCACACAACCTGCATCTTGGCAGCACCCCTACAATCTCCCAGACTTCACTGGAGCTGTCCCCGTGCCCCTCTGCATTCCCAGAGCTCCATCAGTTGTGAAGTGGCGGCACCGTGCCAGATAATGGTGAGTTCCGTGATCTCAAAGAAGGAGAAGGTGTTGGGGAAATTCACAACCCGCGGAGGGTGGGACAGGCTAGTGCCCAAAGGTGGGGGCAGCAGGGAACGGCCTCTGAGTGTGCACGTTCGTGCCAGGGCTGGATGATGTAGGGTTTTTCCCTGTTGTGCGGGGTGAGAGGAGAGAGGAGCAGAGTCGCAGGCCACCAGAATTCTTGCAGGGGCAGCCAGGTGTGTGGGTCACATTGTTTGAGCCCAGTGGGGCTGCAGAGCAGATTAGACTGGGGAGGAGAGAATCACTGAGGGACTGAGGGGGAGACCAGCCCTGAGTCCCTGCTCCTCCCTTCCTTCCTCACTCAGTACATGTTCTGACCCATGGAGGTAGGGCGGGCATGGACATAAGGTGAACCACAGGCTGGGGCTTCTGAAACAGAAATGGACTTTCTCACCGTTCAGGAGGTCGGCAGGTCCAGCCAAGGTGCCAGCTGGGTGGTTTTCCGATGAGGCCTCTCTCCTGGCTTGCAGACGGCCGCCTTCCTGCTGTGTCCTCACACCGCCTTTCCTCTGTGCCTGCAGGAAAGAGAGCCCTGCTGTCTCCCTCTGCTTATAAGGACACCGGTCCTGTGGGATGAGGGCTCTACCCTCATGACCTCACTTCACCTGAATCCCCTCCTGCAAGGCCCTGACTCCATATGCAGTCACATTACAGGTCAGGGCTTGAAAACATGAATATGAATTCGAAATATGAATTTCGCGGTGCACAATTCAGTCCATAACGTCCAGTAAACATTAAATAAATTGTATCAATAGTTCAAGACTCCCACAAAGGAATGGGAAGCACAGATGATATCGTAGCAAATAGCCAAGGCGGGTCAGTTTACAGCAAGGTGGGGTTTCTGGGGGACGCCAACGGCCACCTGTGAGGGTTTGGGATAAGCGACCAACAGAGGCCTGTCTTCCCCGCCAAAGATCCCATGACCGCCGCCTGGGGTTGTCAACAGGCAGCACTCTGAGCAGAGCTGCAGGTCACAAAGTCACCATGCCAACCTTGCTGTTCATCACAACAACCGGACATTCTGCGTCCGCGGATGTTGGGGGCCTCGGCTCAGAGCCATTTCGCCTTCTCCACGCGCAGGCGGGACCAGGTGGAGGCCGCGCACGAGCCTTGAGGACAGGGCGGAGGGGCCGAACCCTGAGCACAGGCGCGGGTGGTGGGCGCAGAGGCCTGAGGTGGCCTGGAATGGCCGGGGTCCGTGTGGCGCAGGGGCGGCCAAGGCCATGGGGGCCAGCGGCCCTGGGGTGCTCGGTCCTGCGCTCTTCCTGCTGCTGCCGCCGCCGCTGAGCGCAGACAGCTTCCTACTCGGCCTCCAACGCTCGCGAGACTGGCGCGGCCTCGGGCTGCCCTGGGGAAGCCCCAGGTGCCCGCGCCGCCTGGGCCCGGACCAGGAGAGGTTCCACCACATCCGGGGCCCGACCCCCTTGCCCCAGGAGCGACTGGCTGGAGAAAAGCCGAAATTCTGCCAGAGCACGGTTGACCTCTACTTCATCTTGGACATGTGAGCGGCCCTCCTGCCCTCGCCAGCGCCGAGGGGCAGTGCTGTCCCTGGGGTCAGTGGGGCAGGACGCGGCCAAAGGAACGCCAGCTGCGGTGAGGGGAGAGGCAGGATGGTCAGGATGGGACCCAACGAGCAGAGCCCTGTGGCCTCCTTGTCCTGAGGCAGAGGAATGACCCAGGCGTTTGTCCCCGGGGCTGTGTCATTTGGGAAGGAAGAGCGGCCAGCCGAGGGTTTCTGGGTGGCTCCCCGGCTCTCCATCCCCGGGCCTGGATCTGGGAGCGCCTGCCCGTAACAGCCGAGGGGCCATGGCGTGGAGCCGCCTCCTCGGCACGGGTCCCGGCTCCCGAGGGCCGCGGTTGGGTTTGGGTTTGCTTGGTTGGTTTGGTGTTTCCCCCAGATGACGTGTGTGTGTTTTCCTGCCCAGAGAGACCCCCCGTGTGGTCTCTTGGGTCTCGTCGCAGCGTCACTGCTCAGAGGGTCCTTGGCTTTGCTGCTTCTGAGTGATTTGCTTCTCTCCTCGACAACCTGGGCCCCCGTGACAGTGTGTGTGCACTTTCCCAGCGGTTTGGTCTGTGTGGCTTGGCCCTGGGAAAGCTGGGCTGTGCCTTAGGCAGCTCTGGCCCTCACAGAAGGAAGCTGGGGGTCTTCAGGCTTGGAGGGAGTGCCTTGGTTCCAGTTTCAACCCCTGGCGGCTGAGAATAAACTTCACTTCTTCAGTAGTCACAGTGGCATGACTGTCAGCATGGTTGAGGACGTCCCGGTTGATAAAGCTCTTGCAGTGATCTCCTGTCGTCCTCCCAACAGTCCAGGGTGTAGGGTCGGGAGGTGTTTGGATGTGGGATCTCCTGGAACGGGGGGCTTCTCAGATGGGAGGAAGGAGCCCAGAGGCTGGTAGTGGTGACAGGACTCCGTCTTCCTGGGCTGGGCTCATCTGCATTCCGGGCTGTGTGGCCTCTGATCCTCTTTTTCTCCATGGGCACTGACGTTGGGGGGATGGGTGCCCAGCCCACAGCTTCTAACAAGCCCTCGAGCTGGGAGCCACGCTGGACCTGGAAGAGAAGTCCCTCCTCACTGTCCAGAGAGGGTCCTGAGATGCCCTGGGCGGGTCTTGTCTGGTTGGTCCTCAGCATAGCCCAGGGCAGTGGCGATTGTCTCTTGGGCCTTGGGGTTGGGGCATGGTGCGCACTGTGGGGGCTGTCAGCCTCTTTGGGTCAGTCTTTCCAGAGAGTGGCAGTGAGTCCAAAGGGTCCTCTCAGCTGCCATGCTGTCACAGTGCCCCTTCCCACACTCCTGGTCTGTGCTGTCAGGCCCAGAGTGGGCACAGCCCAGCTCTGGGATGGATCAGAGAGGGCTCTGGGCACTGGAGGGGATGTGAACTAATTTTCACTGAGCACTTATTCTGTTCCTGGTGTTGTGCGGGTCAGATGCCTCTGCTGGTGGCACTCCTGAGGTTCTCTGGGATATAGCTTTTCACAGTATTCACTTATAGTCCTTTGTATTTATGTGGTGTCCATTGTAATTTCTTCTCTTTCGTTTCTGATGTATTTGAGCCTTCTCTCTTTTTCTTAGTGATTCTAGTTATGAGCTTCTCAGTTTTGTTTATCTCTTCAAAGAATTGGCTCTTAGTGTTTTTTTAATGTTGCAATTATTTTTTTGAAGATTGGCCCTGAGCTAACATCTGTTGGCAATCCTCCTCTTTTTCTTTTTTTTCTCCCCAAAGCCTCAGTACATAATTGTTTGTCCTAGTTGTAGGTTATTCTAGTTGTTCTTTGTGGGTTGCCACCACAGCATGGCTTAACGAGTGGTGCTGGCTCTACACCCAGGACCTGAACCGGTGAACCCCAGGCTGCCAAATTGGAGAGCGTGAACTTAACCCCTCAGCCATGGGGCTGGCCACAAGCTCTCAGTTTTATCAATCCTTTATATTGTCTTTTTAGTGTCTGTTTCCTTTGTTTATGCTTTGATGTCTATTATTTCCCAACAAAGCTTAGCTCTCGTCCTAGGGAGGCCTCATCCATTTGAGGCCTAGGAAATCATTCTGACAAAATGTAGAATTTCTGTCTTTTACTGAATTTAGGCTTTGTTTGTTCTTCTTTTCCTAGTTATTTTAGGTATAGTGTTAGATTATTTAAGATTTTCCATATTTTCCAAATATTCCAAATTTTTTGCTACAGTTCTCCTCTTAGTACTCTTTTTGCTGCATCCCATAGGTTTTGGTGCAGTGTGGTTTCATTTTCATTTTTCTTCAGGGATTTTTTCATTTTTCTTTTGATTTTTCCGTTGGTCCAATAGTTGATGAGTAGCACGTTGTTTAGTCTCCACATATGTGTGACTTTCCCAGGTATTTTCTTGTAGTTGGTTTCTGGTTTCATAGCATTATCATCAGAAAACATGCTTGATAGAATTTCAGCTTTCTTAAATTTCTTAAGGCTTCCTTTGCTTCCCAACATATGGTCTATCTTTGAGAATGTTCCATGTGCACTTGAGAAGAATGTGTATTCTGCCATTTTTGGATGGAATGTTCTATATATCAGGGCTCTGCTCGTTGGGTCCCATCCTGACCATCCTGCCTCTCCCCTCACCGCAGCTGGCGTTCCTTTGGCCGCGTCCTGCCCCACTGACCCCAGGGACAGCACTGCCCCTCGGCAGTGGTGAGAGTAGGAATCCTTGTCTTGTTCCTATTCTCAGTGGGATGGCTTTCAGTTTTTCCCCATTGAGTATGATGTTGGCAGTGGGTTTGTCATATATCACCTTTATTATGTTGAGGTATTTTCCTTCTAAATGCATTTTATTGAGAGTTTTTATCATGAACAGATGTTGGATCTTGTCAAATGCTTTCTCTGCATCTATGGAGATGATCATGTGGTTTTTGTTCCTCCTTTTGTTGATATGATGTATCACATTGACTGATTTACAGATGTTGAACCATCCCTGTGTCCCTGGTATGAATCCCACTTTATCATGGTGTATGGTCTATTTAATGTATTGCTGTATTCAGTTTGCCAGTATTTTGTTGAGGATTTTTGCATCTATGTTCATTAACAATATTGGCCTGTAATTTTTCTTCTTTGTGTTGTGCTTGTCTGTTTTTGGGATCAGGGTGATGTTGGCCTCTTACAATGTGTTAGGAATATTTCCATCTTCCTCAATTTTTTGGAATAGTTTGAGAAGAATAGGGAATAAATTGTCTTTGAATGTTGGGTAGAATTCTCCTGAGAAGCCCTCTGGTCCTGGATTTTATTTTTGGGGAGGTTTTTGATTACTATTTCAATGTCTTTACTTGTGATTGGTCTATTCAGATTCTGTATTACTTCTTGATTCAGTTTTGGCAGGTTTTAAGAGTCTAAGAATTTATCCATTTCTTCTAGATTGTCCAGTTTGTTGTCATATTGATTTTCTTAATGTTCTCTTATAATCTTTTGTATTTCTGTGGTAGCTGTTGTAATTTCTCCTCTTTCATTTCTAATTTCCCTTAGTCTCTCCCGTCCAAGTTACAACTAAAAGGACATTCATTAACCAACAGAGGAACAAAGGATTCCCTACAAAGCACAACAGGACACCTGAGAGATCCATGCAGCCTTGCATCTGAAGGTGGGGGGAGTGGGTCCCTGGGAAGCAGTGGAACAAGGGGAGTGGCCGTCTCCCCCTGCCCAGCAGCAGTGATCCAGGTCCTAGGTCCTCATGTGGTAGACAGTGCAACTGTGAGTGGAGTTGGGAGCAGCCCAGCCCACAAGCAATGCTTTTGGAGTGGTAGCCTGGCCCACAGGAATGGCCACTGTGCTGCAGTGGCCCCACTCGTGTGAACACTCCCCACTGAGTGGTGATGGCTCCATCCCCGAAAAGGCCCCCTGCCCACTGAGCTCAGTGCTGGCTGGAACAAAGGTGCCCTACCCTCACAAGTGCAAATCATTAAACAGCTGCAGCAGCTTGTGTGAATGCAGAGTGCCTTGACTGGCACAAATACCACTGGACAGGGCAGGATCAGAAAGCACAGCTCCTTCATGGCCTCAGCTGTGGCAGGTGGAATCTGTGACTTGATTCCACCAAAGACACACCAACAGAGGATCAATTCATGGAACACCATGAAGAACTACTGTAACACTCCAGAGCAGAAGGAAAATGACACGTCTCCAGAGAGCAAACCTGAAGTTTACAAACCAAACAGGAGATTACAATCTAAATGACAGAGAATTCAAAATAGCTGTCATAAAGAAACTCGAGTTACAAGAAAATACAGAAAGACGGTTCACTGAGCTTAGGAATAAAATTAGTGAGCAGAAGGAATACTTCCCAAAGAGATTGGAGCCCTTAAAAAAACCTATACAGAAATTCTGGATATGAAGAACACAATTAATGAGATGAAAAATAATGCAGAAACCATAAAAAATAGATCAGATGATACAGAGGACAGAATTAGTGAATTAGAAGATAGAAATTTAGAAATGCTTCAGGTGGAGGAGGAGAGAGAACTAAGATTTTGAAAAATGAAGACAGTATTTGAGAAATATTTGACTCAATTAGGAAAAGTAACATAAGGATAGTAGGTATTCCAGAAGGAGGAGAGAGGGAGAAAGGAGCAGAGAGCTTGTTGAAAGAAATTATAGTTGATAACTTTCCAAGCTTGGGGAAGAGACTGGACTTACAAGTACTTGAAGCCAATAGAAATCCTAATGACATCAATGCAAAGACCTTCTCCAAGACATATAATAATAAAACTACCAAAAGTCAATGACAAAGAAAAAATATTAAGGGCAGCAAGGCAGAAGAGAACAACTTACAAAGGAACCCCTGTCAGGCTTTCAGCAGGTTTCTCAGCACAAACTTTACAGGCTAGGAGTCAATGGAAGGATATATTCAAAATTCTGAAGGACAGAATCTTTCTGCCAAGAATTCTTTATGCAATAAAGTTATCTTTCAGATATGATAGAGAAATAAATGCTTTCCCAGATCAACAAAAACCGAGGGAGATCATTGCCTTACAAGACCTGCCTTACAAGAAAGGAGGAAAGGATCCCTCCTATCTGAAATGAAAAGGCAAAGGTTCACAAAGCTTTGAGCAAGGAGATAAATAGATAGACACAATCAGAAAACTGTAGCTCTCTATCAGAATAGGTTAGCAAACACTTAAGTATAAGATAAAAGATAAAGTGAAGGAAAGCATCAAAAATGAGTATAAACACTTCAATTTAGTCACAAACTCAGAATGCAAAAGAGAATAATTTGTGACAACAGTAATTCAGAAGGGGAAGAGGATGAGGATGGAATCTGCTTGGCTAATGGAGATAAGATGCTGTCAGAAAATGGACTACCTCATCTGTGAGGTCTTGTATACAAACCTCATGGTAATCACTAAACAAAAAGTCAGAGCAAAGGTACAAATCATAAACAAAGAAAAAATTGAGAAAACCATCAGAGAAAATGCCAACCTGAAATGGCAGTCAGAAATATGAGGGAAAAGAAACAGGGGAAATATAAAAAAACTGGAAAACAAAAGATAAAATGGCAGTATTAAGCCCTCATATATCAATAATCACTCTAAATGTAAATTGATTGACTCACCAATGAAAAGACACAGTGTGGCTGGTTGGATTAAAAAACAAGACCCAACCATATGCCACCTCCAGGAACCATATCTCAGCTCTAAAGGCAAACATAGGCTCAGAGTGAGGGGACAGAAGATGATACTCCAAGGAAATGGCAAACAAAAGAAAGTGAGTAGCCGTACTTGTATCAAACAAAGTAGACTTCAAGATAAAAGACAATGAGAGACAAAGAAGGGTAGTATATAATGATGAAAGAGAGATTCCAACAAGAGGACAAAACACTTAGGAATATGTATAAACCTAACACAGGAGCACCAAAGTATATAAAACAACAAACAGCCATAAAGGGAGAAATTGACAACACCACAATAATACTGGGGGACCTCAACACCCTACTTATATCAATGCATAGATCATCCAGGCAAAATATTAACAAGGAAACATTGGCCTTAAATGAAACACTAAATGGACTTACTAGATATATATAGACCATTCCATCCAAAACCAGCAGAATACACATTCTTCTCAAGTGCTGATGGAACATTCTCAAAGATAGACCATGTGTTGGGAAACAAGGCAAGCCTCAATTAATTTAAGAAGATTGAAATATCAAGCATCTCATCCAACCACAATGCTAGGAAACTACAAATCAACTACAAGAAAAAAGCTAGGAAAATCACAAATATGTGGAGACTAAACAACATGCCACTGACCAACCAATGGATCCGTGGAGAAATCAAAGGAGAAATAAAAAAATACCTGGAGACAAATGAAAATGAACACTCAACATACCAACTCTTATGGGATGCAGCAAAAGCGGTTGTAAGAGGGAAATTCATAGCAATAGAGGCCCACCTCAACAAACAAGAAAAACTCAAATAAGTAATCTTATATTACATCTAACAGAACTAGAAAAAGAAGAACAAACAAGCCTAAAGTCAGCAGGAGGAAAATAATAATAATTAGAGCAGAAATAAATGAAATAGACACTACAAAAATCAAAAGAAAGGATTTGTCCTTTGATCCCTAATTATTTACATGTATGATTTAAATTTTCAATTGCATTTGGTTTGTCAAAAACTATTTTTCTCATTGATCTCCCACCTATTTGCATTGTGGTATCTGAGAACGTAGCCTGTATGATACTGTTTCTTTAAGTTTTATTGAGACTTGTTTCCATACATGACTAGGTGCAGGATTCTTTATAAGCCTATTACACCAAATATTCGTTGTTGCTCAAACCTTGCTTGTTTTAAGTAATATTTCGTCTTCTTGACAGATGAGTTTTGAAATTTCTCACTGTAATAGTGGATTTAACCAATTTCTTCTTATCATTTATCATTTTTGTTCATCATTTTTACTTTATTTGGTGCATGCCAGCTTAAAATATTTGTATCTTTCTGGGAAATGAAACTATCATTAGGAACTTACCCTCTTTAACCCTAATAATGTTTTTCTGTGTTGAAGACTCCAGCCTTCTTTGGGTTTGTCCAGCATGTCTGGCATATCTTTTCCAGTCAACTTCTTCATGTCCTTATGTATTAGTTGTCTCTTTTAAAAGGCATATAGTTAGATTAAAAACAAACAAACAACCTGACAAACTGTCTTTCATTGGTAGGTCAAGTCCATTTCCATTGTGGGGGCCATGAAGATGCACCACTCAGCTCTGACATTAGGAAGTGTAATTGGGGGGCAGGGTGCTCTGGGAACCCACCACCCACCACCACAATCTACCCCACATTCACACAGAGGGAACACCCCTGCTGCTGGTCAAGGACTGAGTGTAGAGGGACACTGAGGCAGCCCCATGCCTAGGAGAGCTCAGGCTCCTCTGATGGCTCCAGGACTCCCCATGAGCATGGCTGAAACTCTCTTTAACTGCTCTACCCTCTGACACTCCTCCTATCCAACCCTACATCATACTCTCCTTCCTTTTCAAAAGAACCTCTCCAAGTTAGTGACTGTCCCTGTGATTTTCAGTGTATAGATGTTTCCAGCAGTCAGCCTGTTTTCTCAGCTCCTTTGCTCCCCGTTGTTTCTTTAAACCCACTATTTTCATCTGTTTCCTTCCTTCTTAAGTACATTCTTTAGTAGTTCTTTCACCAACGTTGTGTGGGTGATAACCTTAGGCTTTGCACATCTGGAAATATCTCTGTTTTGTGCTCAGCCTTGAATAACGGTAGAGTTAGATACAGAATTCTACATGGACAGATTATTTTCGAGGTTATCCTGGATGTTCTGTGATATAAAATAAGATTTGCTTTGGGGACCATCCCCCAAAGTTTTAATGTGTGTGCTGAATCCCCCTTCCCTTCTTTCAATGTATCATGATTTTATTCTTTTACAATCTTAGCTTTGTAATAGATGCTGCAAGACCTTGGGGAAAAGCACAGCGCCTTGTCGCCTTATGTCCGTGCCCGCCCTACCTCCATGGGTCAGAACACGTACTGAGGGAGGAAGGAAGGGAGGAGCAGGCACTCAGGGCTGGTCTCCCCCTCAGTCCCTCAGTGATTCTCTCCTCCCCGGTCTAATCTGCTCTGCAGCCCCACTGGGCTCAAACAATGTGACCCACACACCTGGCTGCCCCTGCAAGAATTCTGGTGGCCTGCGACTCTGCTTCCCTCTTCTCTCACCCCTCAAACAGGGAAAAGCCCTACGTCATCCAGCCCTGGCACGAACGTGCACACTCAGAGTCCATTCCCTGCTGCCCCCACCTTTTGGCGCTAGCCTGTCCCACGCTCCGTGGGTAGTTAATTTCCCCAAGACCTTGGTTTTCTTTGAGGTCAGAGAACTCACCATTATCTGGGACAGTGCCGCCACTTGACAACTGAGGGAGCTCTCGGGGAATGCAGAGAGGCACGGGGACAGCTCCAGTGAAGTCTGGGAGATTGTAGGGGTGCTGCCAAGATGCAGCTTGCGCGGCTACTCAGCCGGGAGGGGGAGGGAGAGTCCGGAGCGCGGATGGGGTCTCTGGGTGGCTTTTGGAGGATCGGCAGCCGCGGGGCGCGGACCACATGGACAGCAGTCCCTCCTGTCACCTGGGTCCCGCAGACCCAGGAAAGAAGTCTCAGCGCAGAGGGCGAGTGAGCAGCGACAAGTGCAGCCTCTGTCCCGCCCAGGGCGCCACCTCCAAAGGCAGCGGGGGCTGGACGAACCGTGGGGCGGCCCACCCCGTCCTCAGTCCCGCCGTTGGAGGCGCCAGGCAGGGGCTGGAACCAGCTGGGGCGCCGGGCGGGGTTTCAGAGCTGAGCCCGGAGCGCCGGCCCCGCCAAGCGGGCGCGGAGCGGCGTGCGCCTGGGCGCCCACCTCTGCCCGCAGTGCCTGGGCAGCGGATCCTCTGTGTCCTCCCATCAGCGGGTTCTGCCAGCTGGAGGCCCCTCCCCGAGGCGGGAGCGGGCGGGAAGGCGGGGTCCGCCCGGCCCCAGGGCTCATGCGCCAATCCGACCCGGGGGTTGCGGCTCCAGAACTGGCGGCGCCCGGGCTGCGGAAGCGTCTCCAGCGGCCAGCTCCGTGGGAGAGCACAGGTGAGGCGCGCTGCCCTGCTCGCCAGACCGGCCGCGAGTGCGCGCGAGATTCCTCTCCCTTCTCCTGACTTGTCCCCGGGGCAGAGTCCGCAGTCCTGCCTTGGACTGCCTGGCCCTTCTCTTCCCTCTGTCACCAGCCTTCTCCATCTCTCCTTTTTTTCCCTCTCTGCCACCCCTGTCCCTGCCCTCTGCCTCTGTCCGTTGTGGCCATCTCTTTTCCTGATTTCTCTCTCATTTATCTCACTTTTTCTTGTCTATCTCTTGTTTATCTTTCTCCTGTCCTCCTCCTTCTCTTTCTTTCTCTCTCTCCCCCCGCCCACCCCCACAACAAGAATTCTACTGGATTTTTTCCCCTGCGGGTTGACTTTTTAGGCTGCAATTCTTTTCATTCATCCGTCCATCCACCCACTCATCCACTCATTGTGTGTTGCTTGGTGATTCTCAGCTGGGGCTTCCGCTGGGCACTAGGGTAATTACTGAGCATCTGCCCCATATCCTTTCCCCAGCAGATTGTACCCAAAGATCGGAGCATGTAACCTGTTCAGTGCCTGTCGTGGGAAAAATACATGAATGATCAAGTCATAAATCCCGAGACTTCAGGGTGAGCTGAAAGAAGAGATTTGGCTTTAGAAACAAGGCATTGCCTGAATCCTTTCCTTGACGTTTTGCCTTTAGTAGTAGGCACAGACAACACACCAGGAAGCTAAACTTTGCAGGAACATTAAGGGACCTTGGGTCCCAAGCCATGCTTCTGTGCAGTGCAAGGCCAGGTTCCTGGGGACCGAGAGGGTGGGATTCAGAGCTCAGCTGTGGGCAGACAATAGGGAGGCCGGGGCTTTGCACATGACACATTTGGGTGAGAGTTGAAATTAGAAATTAACTGCAAATTTCTAAAATAAATAGTTGTCAGTGCTGCTGATGTGCAGAAATTGTCACATAATTACTATTGAATGAAGCAGACCTTTAATAGCAATTATTGTGGCATTTGAAATTAACGTTTTTGTGTATGTTAGGTAGGACCATGGTGAAAATATTTCATCTTAATACCAAAGATCGTCTTAGACACATACTAAGGGAAGAAATCAAGAAAAACAAATCTGATTCATTTTTGAGGAATAAAGTAGAAGTGTTGTATATCAAAGCAATTTTTTGCTTCTTGTTAAAAATTTAATCTTGTCGGAGAGACATAATTTCAGTACTCAAGGAGATTTTTGTGATATGTATAGCTACATTTTCAAACATGTACATACACACACATATTATATATACTATGCTGTAAAAAGCTTGTTTGTTTTTAAAGCTGTTAATTATCACCTAACACTTGTATCTTTTGGTTCTTATAAATAGTTTAACCTGTCCTTTTAGTTTGTTATGGTTTTTAATGATAATTCAGCTTAACTTTTCCGTTGATATGGAAAAGGAAATGTGTCAGTAGATAAATCATGCAGAAGTGAACAAAAATTAAATATGCTGAAAGAGGATTGCAGCGTGTGTATTGAAATAATTTCTAGATTAAAGAACGTTGGGCAAATTCCTAGGTAGATGCATGGCACTTCAATTTGGCAGACTATTTTCTGAGTTGAATCGTTAAATAGTCTTTTACGTCGTTTAACCACTGACTTGTAGTATATCAGAATTCAGGGGGTGGGGAAGGAATGCTTTTCAAATGATTTAGAACTGTCATGTCTGTTTTGCCTAGCAGATTTTTCCCCCCAGAAGTCCAGGTGACAAGTTTTCTTTGAACAGATAATCACGCAATTTTTTTTTTTTTTTTAATTCAGGGCTAGGTCGTGAGTGGCAATGCTTTTAAATTTCTTTTCCTTCTTTAAGTAGACTGTGTCTTTCCTTCTTTCTCGCAAATGAGGCTATTGTTGGCATCAGGTAGAATTTGGCTGAGCAGTGATGAAGAAACCGTGGACTGTTCCCCTGAAGGCTGCCAGTGGAATTGGTCCGTGTGGCCGCGTTGTGTTAGGACTCCAGCTGACCTCGCTGAGGCTTGGCTGAAGGCTGGGAAGCCTGCATTTGGTTTTGCTTTAACACAGCAGGAATTGCTGCTGGAGGGTTGTAGGCAGAGTTGGACATGGAGCCTGTGAGAGCTGGCCGGGGAGTCCTCTGGTCCCCCGGCTCCATGGCTCCACCAGCTGGCCTCCAGGAAAGCCTGAGTTTTTAGTTTTCACAGGGCTCCAGGGCTAGGAGGATGTCTAGAAAACAGGTGTGTTTCTCTTCTCAGGAAACCCAGGACTTCACAATCCATATGTGGAAGAAGTAGATAGATGATTATCCTCTGGAATCTTGCAAAAGGATTAGAAAAGCAACTCCAGAGGCTAGGAAAGCCAAAGGAATAGAGCACAGGAGATATTTTCTGCTCCTGTTTGCTTTTGCTGAAGTGGAAGGCAGACACAGGAAGGCATGGCTGGTGGGGTAGACGAGCCATTGATAAAATCTATTTTCTGAGCTGCAGCTTGGACCAACTGGAGTCTGGTCAGTGACTTGGGGGGTGAGCATCTTCAGACATCTCAGGAACACAAGATCGTCCGGTGTTTGCTAAGAGTTCTTTCCTCTGTAAACCGAGGGGGCAGGACGAAGAAGCCCAGGCATTTGGTCCCTCCTTAAACACTGTTGTGTGCTGGTCCTTGGCAGCACGTGAGTGGAGGGAAAGCAGCCATGAAACTGAGTCTGAACCTTGGCCTAGTGTGATTATAAATTGATGCTACCTAAGCTTTATCGAGCCAGGCTGTTTAGCGCTTTAGATATGTGCATCCATTCATCTTGACGGCCCCCTGATGAAGCGGGCAGTGAGGTGATCCTTTTCTTCAGATGAGAAAACAGAGGCAGGGAGAGGACCAGCACCCTGCCCACGGTCGCAGGATTGGTAAGGGCAGAGCCGGATGTGGTCCTGTCATTCTGACCCTAGAGTCCGCACACTTGACCTCTACGTGGCTGTAAGCCTGGTTATCCGGGACGGCCTGGATATGGCAGGAATAGGAAGGTGGACTATGGTCAGTGCTTCCCAGATGAAGGAATGATCAGAGTCTGCAGTCACGTCCCTGGGAATAGGTAATAAACCAAGACACACATGCTTTTCCACAGGGGGTGGGTGAGGCCTCATCCCTCAGAATGTAGCACTCTCTTTGTTGGTCAGTAGCCCCTGGTTGGTGGCCCAGAGTGGGTGGGAGCCTGAGGGAGACATACCCCTGAGGTCGAGAGCCCAGAAGGAACTGAGGCTATTGAGGAGAGCGGAGGATGGCAAAGGGTCCTTTAATAATGGATCAGAGCAGGGAGAACAAGAGCTGCACAGGCCGATGTACTGCCAGGGCCGCGGTGTCTGTGGAAGGAGAAAGAGGAAGGGCAGCTCCGCTTTGCCCAGGGCCCTTCGGGCAGGGAACATCCTCCGGGTGCAAAGGGCTCTGGGTGGTCCATGTGGGAAAGGAGGAGCGAGGCAGCACAGAGCCACTGTGCATGTGGTCTCCTGACCCAGAACTCACTGCCCAGGGCATGGATTGACCCCAGAGATGACCTCACTCATCTGCAGAGGTCATCGGAGATGTGTTGGGGATCACGGGAGAGGCGTGCAGGGAGGCTGGAGCTGGATGAGACTCCAGGTCTGATGTTGACCCTGGGAAAGGGCCTGTGAGTTCTTCAACAAGAAGCTTTGAGCATTCGGAGCTGGAGGGGCTCCCTCGGGATGCGCCATGTCAGACTCACATCCTTTTCCATTTTGAGAGGCTTCAATCTGGCGATTGTCCCAGAAGAGTGGACCAGGGTTAGATGGAGTCCCAGATGGAGCTTTGTAGGACGTTTTTGCACTTGTCCAAGTGACTTACCCCAGCAGTGCTGACGCACCTGAGAGTGGTGACCCTCAGGGAGGTCGGTCATGCCATAGGTCCCTGTCAGTTCTGCATCTCTGTCTCCTCCTCTTTGTTATTATTATTGTTATTACGTCATTGCCTTTTCCCCCTCCTCCTCGTTCTCACTATTATTATTAAGATTTGGGCGATAGCATTCATGGAGCATGGCGCTGGATGGAGATCTAACACAGCAGGGGCAGAATCCGGCTCCGCCAGGGTCTCAGAGGCTGGAGTGCTGTGCTGCGTTACTGACGGGGTGTTTGCCAGGCTGGGGACGAACGCGCTTGGCAGAGACAGGCAGCTTCCCTCACGTGGTCGTTGTGAAAACTCAGTGAAAGAAGGTGTGTTCAGTCTCTGGCACGTAGACACTTAACGCAGTCAGTAAGCAGTGGCCTCTATTTCTGTATCATGAAGCATCCTGCTAGCAAATACCCATCCTGCGGTTAACACCACGTGTCCCAATTTTAGTGCTGAGAAGAGGGCAGTCACATCCATGGCTCAGGGCACTCTGGACACTGCTGGCACCTGGGCCTACACGGCTGTGGTTGGCAAAGGGGGCCTGAGCGGTGAAGGCAGCTCAGTGGGGCTGTCTGCAGAGGCAGGCAGGGGTTCAACAGGACCCAGAGGAGAGCAAGCCAGGCTCCTGCCCAGGCTTGGGAAGATGTCCTTTGATTCCAAACATGTCAACTGTCATGTGGAGAACCGTCTGAGGATGAAAGAGAGAGAGGGAGCACATGAGAGAGATGGGGGTGTCTGTGTGTGCATGTGAGGGTGTGAGGGTATCTGGCTGTGTGTCGTTGTGTGAGCTCATGGAAGCTCAGCAATAGGGCTTCAGGCAGACCAGTTACTCTTTGAGAAAGGGAAGAATTGGCTTCATCCCACTGGAGTCATCCGCTGGCCGACCTGGAAAGGACTGTAGAGATGATCTAGCCCAACCCCAGTTTATAGATGGCAAATTGAGGCTGAGAGAGGTGGGCTGGTCAGCTGAGGGTCACTCAGTGGACTGGGGTGTCCACCTCTGCCTCCTCAAGAAGCACTGGCTAGCACTATTCTCTCATGTCAGTGGCATCCCCTTTGAGGAATTAGTTTGGAAGGATTAGGAGGGGCTCAGATCCCCTTGGTGGCACACAGGTTGGACTTGGTGCTCACCGTCGGGGCCACTGTGAGGGTGACACAGGGAGTGCAACCCAAGCAGACTTTGGGGATACACTTGTGGGTTTCAGTCCCAGCGTGCCTCCTACTTGCAGGGGACATCGGGCAGGATGTTTAGCTCTGGGGAGCCCAGGGCTGCCTCATCTGTGAAAGAGAGTGATGATCCTCCAGGTGCAGTGAAGACGGAAGAGGTGACATGCACAGTGCCTGTCACAGACTCCTGCCACCGAGAGAGTGAGGGCAGGGTGCCTGTGTGTGCTTTCATGGGGCGGGGGGGGTGGGGTGGAGGCAGGAGGCAGGGCCAGAGAAAGGAGCTGACATGAGCCCTAGTGGCATTTATGCATGACAAGCCCATGGAGGTCCCTGTGAGGAGGGGGCTCAGGGCCCCGGGGACAACTACTTTCTAGTGATGAAAACTCGGAACACTCAGTGGAGTGTGGTCCAGCAGTACCGCTCACCAGCTGAGGGAGGCGCTTGAAGCCAGTTTTCCCAGTTTGCAGACCTCGCTGGTGGAGCTGACTATGGAAGAGCAGAGATGAATGCCTCTCCAGCAGGTTGATGGCACCCTCCCCTTCTGGGTGCCAACCTCACATGAGGCCACTGTGTGTCTCCCCTCCAAGCCATGAGCACCTCAAGGGCAAAGGGGAGGCTGGTCCACCTGTGTGTGCCCAGCAGGTTGGCACAAGAGGACAGTGGATAAGTGGGCAGAGGAGATGCAAGTGGATGACTGTGTGAGGAGAACCAAGGGTGGGCACTTCTGGTGAGTGGAGACACGGGAGACCCCTCAATTGGACCAGGGCCAAGGCCAGGTGGAGAGAAGGCTGCCCCCAGGTGTGGGAGCAGGGGCCAGGCACAGCCCCAGACCAACCCTGCATGCCTGGGTGTCTACTGCTCCAGCTTTTACCCCTGTGGACACCTGTGCCTACAGGAGCTCCTGTCCCCAGGTGCTCAAAGTGTCCTGGCACTTCTGATGATTTGGGAGAAAAATCAGCATGCTGAGCATCAGGGGACAAAAACTGCTGTAAATCAGGGCTCAAACCTGTTAGAGTTGTCAACCGGGTCAGAACTGGCTGGTGGAGGCAGCCTTGCGTGCTCTGTGAGCAGGGCCACTGCTGCCTGGAGGCTGACAGGCATCCTTCCTCCCTGATGGGGTCCTGGAGGTGAAAGCAGGTGGCCTAGAGCTCTGAGCCAGGTGAGCTGTCACATCTATAGGAGTCAGCGTTCTTTGGATGCTAACAACAAAGCCTAACTCTGGCCAACTTAGCCAAGAAGATTAATTAGAAGGTTACGGTGGGGGTGGGGAGGGGTGGTCCCAGTGTCAAAGGGAGGACTGGAGAAGTACGCTTGGAGAAGACAGGGACTGAGCTGCCTCAGAGTCCTGGCAAGCTCCCGGACGGAACTCGGGTTTGCGGAGGAGGACGCCGGGTGGCAGACCACGCCACAGCATGTGACCGGTGCCCTGTTGTCACAGAGATCACGCAACCCCCTTCCACGTGTGGGTTTAAGACCCTGGAGCAAAAGAGCGTCTTCAGTGCGGGACAGCCAACCCTTGCTGAGAGCTGCTCCCTGCCGCCCGTGAGGCCCAGTGGGGTACAAAGAGGAACAGACAGACAGTCCCTCTCCAGGGCCGGCTAGGGTGACAGTGAGCAGGGCAGGGCAGGCTGTGGATGGCGCTCCGCACGCCTGAGCCCCGGCATGCCTACCCTGCTGGTGTCGTGTGTGAGCAGGTGCAGGGGAAACCCATTCCTTCTGCTTTGTGGGCAGCCCCCTGGGCCTCACTGGAAGTCCTCACACCAGGGTCCAGTTGCAGGCTTTGGAAGGACAGGGCACTGGAGTATAATTTCCATACCGGAAAAGGGTTGTCTCCCTGGGTTTAGTTTGGCCCCTGGTGCTGGAGTGTGGGGGGAATGCTGTGCGTGTCTGCACTGGGGATCAGACCCGGGCTTGACCCCCTCTGCCTGATCTGACTGTGGAAGGCAAGTGGACAGGGGGTCCCTCCGCCCCTCCATCTGCACTGGGGGGCTGCTCCACCTCCTGGGGGAGCCTGAGGACACGGGCGTTCATGGGGGTCAGGTGCTCAGAGCTCCTCATGGCAAGGAGCTGTGCACACTGCTGCCTCTGACTCTGCCCCTCTCCCCTTGCCCTCCCCTGCCTCACTCACTGGGCTGTATTCACATGCCGGTCTGGCCTGGCTCAGTATGAATAGAAAGGTCTTATTTAGGGGCACCTCTGTGTCACCCTGAGCTCCTTCCCCGCAACCATCTCCTCATGGCTGGAATGTGCCCAGTCCTTCTTTGCCACTATGACTTTGCCTGTGCCGTTTTCACCATCACTTCCTGATGCACTCCTATTCATCCATCAACACCCAGGGCTAGTGTCGCCTCTTCGATGGGGCATTCCTCAGGCCCCCCAGGCTGCTCTGGTTAGTGACTGTCCATCCCTGATCCTGCAACGTTTCTCCCACATTTTCTCCTCCTTTCTGTTCTCATGTAGTCTTCCCCTTCTACTAGGGAGATTCCACCCTTTCATGAGTCCTGGGCAAACCCCTCTCCATCCTCAGGGCTCAGCTGAAATGCCACACTTGCCCATTTATAACACGCACACACATGTAGGCCAATGCGTACTGTCCTGCTGCTCAGCACATCCCAGGACTGTCTTGTCACCACTGTCACCACAGCACCTAGGACAGACCCGGCATGCATAAGGCTGTCTGCAAAGGTTTGCTGAATGAATGAACAAACAAGTTAGGAAGTTAATGAAAAATACGACCTGTTGGTCATTTCTGTATATTTCCTTCAAGGATTCTTCCTTTGGCTTATGTGTTTTTGCCAAGAATAGATTACACCAAATATATAACCTTTTTGCCCTTCTTCCTCCTCAACGTTACATTGTAGGCATATTACACATTCCATTCCGAGGCTACACAACGCTTCATCTCGGCTACGCATCACAACTTACCACAAGTCTCTGTCGTGCGGCGTTGAGCAGTTTGTTGTTTATCCTCACTGTGCACAACACTGTGATGGACGTCTCTGTTTCATCCCACATTGGGCAGATCTGCCCCCTCCAGCTCCTCCTTCAGCCACCATCAGTGTGGTCTGTCCCCTACCTGGAGGAAGGACACCTTCAGAGCCTGAGCTCCTTGCGTGGACTCATCCTTGGGAGGATTCTTGGCACCCACAGGCCACTGAGCCTTTCCCAGTCGGCTCAAGTGGCTGACCCTGGGCTGCCACTTTCCTGAGGAGAAACTGAGGGGCTTCTCACTGGGGAAAGAAATGCCGGGGTCAAGGGGAGGTGAGGGGATAGGGCAAGGCTGGAGGGCCTTGTGGTGCCTCATATTGGTCTCATGTCCGGGTTGGAGAGAAAAGGATGCCTTTTGCTGCAGATAGCAACTTCCTCACCTGCCGGGGTTGTGGACCAGGTGGGGCTGCGGGCCTGCAGAGAGGCTCCTGGGGGAGGCAGGTGCAGGAGAGCCTCAGAGCAGGTGCCCCCGCCCTTCCCATGATGCGCTTTTCTCCTCCCTGGGACCCCACGGAAACATGAGGGGCTCACATTGTCCTGTCTGTACTGGGGGGAGACGGCTGCATGCTTTGTGAGGATAACATTGATTTCTTCTGACGGTTGCTAAACCCATTTCATGTTCCCGAATTCATTCATTCAGCCAAGGTTTGCTGACCGCTGCTGTGAGCAGGCGCTAGGAAGGACTCAGATGGCGAGGTGAACTGATGTATTGGACTCTTAGGGCCTGCCTTGCAGTAAACCACAAGTGGGTAAATATGATGTTACACGTGGTGCAATGCGGGACGTTGGTCCAGGTACAGCAGTGGTGGAGGCAGGAGTGTTCTCAGTGCCTGAGAGGATCTGGGGAGGCACAGAGAGGGGCCACGCCCAAGCTGGGCTTTGCCGAATGAGCTGGAGTTCATGGGTCCCATGGGGAATGCGGGTGTCCATGTGCAGGGGGAGCCTGAAACAACACCTGGGGGCATCTGGGTGACCCTGGGCAAGAATGAGTAAGACTGAGCAGGGGCCGCTGTTTGGGCAATCCGACCTTGGCTGGTCTCCGCCAGAGCAGGCTCGGCTCTGCAGTGGCGGGGACCACTGCCCAACACACGGGGCTGGGCTGGGAGTGGGGGGACGAGTGGGGACATGTGACTCTTCCAAGAAGCCTGGCTCTGAGGAATAGGGAGACGACACAGAAGCTGGTGGGGCACGTGGTGTGGACAAAGAGGCTGCTAGGCTGGGAGACAGGTCTGGCAGCCTGAGGGGTTATGGGGTGAAGTCAGAACAGAGACAGATGCTGTCAGGAGCAAGGACTATGAAGGCGACACTCCTCCACACGCTGTGACATCCTGATGCTGTGACCTCCCTCTGTGCCCTTGGCACTCAGTGGGGCCAGACAGGGCCTGAGCGTGGGGCAGGAACCGCTGGTGCTGGGTGTCCTCACGCTGGAGTCCACTGTTGACAGATGACCTAGAACTCCTGGAGGGTCCTTGAGGCCTGGATGGTGCCCGGGACAGGCGCCCCTCCCTTCCCCTCCAACCTCCCTGTTCCTCAGCCTGGCAAACAGCCTTCCCCTGGCCTTCCGCCAGGGGAATCTGTGCATTTCTCTCATCTCTCCTTGCTCCTGTCTCTAGGGGCTGCTGCTTCTAGGTATTTCTCAGCAGAGACCTCTGTCCCCACCCCCAGGGAGGACATGGGCAGTAAGGTCATTTCTTCCATTTCACAGATGCAAACCGAGGCTCAGAGAATGTAGTGGCTCGTCTAACATCACACAGCTAAGGATTGGCGAAGCCTGGATTCACATGGAGCCTTGTTCACCCCCCAGTTCTTGTTCCTGTCACCATTTGACACCGGACATCAGGTTCCTGGTAAGAGGAGGTTTTTTTTTTTAACGTATGCTTTTTTGGTGAGGAAGATTGGCCCTGAGCTAATGTCTGTTACCAATCTTCCTCTTTTTTTTTTTTTCCTCCCTAAAGCCCCAGCACATAGTTGTAGGTCATTCTAGCTCTTCTATGTGGGATGCTGCCACTGCATGGCTTGATCCCAACCGGCGAATCCCAGACCGCCGAAACGGAGTGGGCAAACTTCACCACTCTGCCACGGGGCCAGCCTGAGAGGAGACTGTTTAAGGCAGCTGCAGCCTGCGTGCTGGGAGGTGATCCTGAGAGCCTGTGTCACTGCTGTTGCTTCCTCTCTCTGTAGAGCCCCGTGGGCCAAGTGTGGCCGGCCCGCTGATCAGGGGAACTCTCCCATCTCAGGGATCCTCCCTGGGCTGAGCCCTCTAGAGCCCTAAAGCCCTGAAGACCGACAGCTGTTGGATTGTCTACCTTGCTCAGCTGGCTCAGGCCCTGCTGGTCAACATGGCTGCTGGGAAGGGGGCTCTGCAGGGCCCTTCGGCTGAAAACAGATGGCGGCTTAGTGAACCCGAGCAGGGCCGGGGCCGCAAGCCTGTGCTGCTGGAGAAAACGAACCGCCTGGGCCCCCAGGCTGCCATGGGCAGTGGTGGCCGGGATGAGGCCTGTGCCAAGATGGCGCTGTCAGCAACCCCGGGCAAGCTCCGCCTGGGAAAGCCAATGCTGCGAAAGGCGTGCTGGGCACAGGGGCAGAGCGCCTTCACCGAGGTGCCTCGGCCTGGGAGGAGGCTGGGGGATGGGCAGGCCCACGAAGGGGAGCACAGTGGTCCTACAGGCCGGCCCGGTCCCCAGGAGCTGACCGAGGATGTCCCCAGGGACCAAGCAGGTGGCACGGTCTCCTTGGTGTGGCCCGTTGGAGCCCGAGGGGAGCAGAGAAGCGCCTTCAGCAAACCAGCCAGGTGTCCAGCAGGGAGGCCTGGGCCAACCTCTGTCCTCCAGGGAGGGGGACCTGCAGATGCGCTGGGGGAGCTCTTGGGTCTCATCAACACGGTAGACGCCTCTGGTTGGGGCCAACTTTCAAATTCTAAGATTTTAGCGGCCGATTTCTGGAACCTGCAGATGTCGCCCCAAAACGCACCTCTCTGCAGCCCTTTGGTGGGTGCCCCCATGCTGTGGCTCAAGCAGCCCACGGCCCAGACACCCACGCCCTCGGCGGCCTCCTCCACCGCCTCCTGGGCCCTCCTGCCCTCCACGTTCTCCTCCCTGGGCCTGTCCACCCAGAACTGGTGCGCAAAGTGCAACCTCTCCTTTCGCCTGACCTCCGACCTGGTCTTCCACATGCGGTCCCACCACAAGAAAGAGCGTGCGACGCCTGACCTACAGTCTAAGAAGCTGAGAGAGGAGGCCCTCACTTGCCCCATTTGCCACGAGTACTTCCGGGAGCGCCACCACCTCGCCCGGCACATGACCTCTCACAGTTAGCAGGTGGCCGTGGAGCAGACAGCTGGGCACAGCGTCCAGCTGGCTCACCGGGCCTTCCTTTGAAAGGGCTGGTCACAGTCATCTGCAGGGCTGTGTGCTTCAGCATTTGTAGATGAACAGCTCAGTCGTCATTTGAAAAAGATAACCAAGCCCCTGTGATGTGTTTTGAAGGAAATAAAGTCGTGAAATAAAATGATGTGCTTTGCTCATCCAGGGCATGGTGACTAACAGGCACAAAGTGTTGGTAATGTTTTCAAAAGTCGGGGCCCTACTCCTGTCACTACGCCTTTTGCTCTGTACAGAAGCAAGTTTGGAAAAGAGCCTGGGCTCTGGAGGCGGACAAATCCGGATTCGAATCGCGGCCCTTTGCCTACTAGCCCTGACCTTGGACAAATAGCTTTAACTGTCTGAGCCCCAGTTTTCTTATCTGAAAAGTGGAGATGATGACACCTGTGTCTTAGGGATGTTGTCAGGGTTACATGGGAAGATGTGTGGAGAGTGGCCAGCATGGCGCCTGGCACAGTGTGATCACTGAGTAAACGATATTTATTACCAAGGTCCATCAGTCCTTGGACCTTAGTCCAAGGTAGTTCAGGTATTTGTTACCTGGTCCTTGGTTGTGGGTCTGTGGGTTGGCTTGGGCTGAGCTGGTCTTGTCTGAGCTTGGCTCCAGATTTCCGGTGGATGTAGGTCCATGCTCTTTTTCTCTGGGACAGTTGGGCTTCTCTCACGGTTATGCCAAGAGCACAAGAGGATAAATCCAAATACACGAGCACATCTCAAGCCTCTGCTTGGGTCACTTTCATTAATGCCCCTTTGGTCAACGCAAGTCAATGGCCAAGCCCGAAGTTAAGGGGTGAAATGTGCACACTGCCCATGGTGAAGCCACGAGTGGGTGTGTAATCCTTGTACAGGGGCCCGAAGAATTGGGACCAATAATTCAACCTTCCACCTGGTCCATGGTTCTTCACATTCTGAATATGTGAAAAGGGAAAAATGGGGAGGTCTAACACACCACACACACACACACACACACACACACTCCCCTTAGCTTTCAGGAAGTCAGCATATGCAGAAACTCAATGCTGAAAACATAATGAGGACTGGGGTAGTTCTGGGTGCCATTTCTTATCTCTTGTCTGTGGAGTTTCTTTCAGTAACTATCCTGTTTACCCACATTTGTCCTTGTTCCTAATAATGCAGACCTCAGGTCAGGAGCTCTGATGTGGCACAGGCCGTGTTGTGTGGAAGCCACTCGTTGGGAGTTCTTTTGAGTCAGTGCAGTTCCTTTGACTGGTTTCCACTTCACTGTCAGGATCTGTTCATTTGACCTCCAGTTTCCAACCCTCCACTGGGGCCTCTGTCACGGAGCTCAGGCTTGTGATTGGGGAGGAGCTGGTGGGGGTCTCACACAGAGGCCAGCTAGCCATCCAAAGCCCCTAGACTCTGCCTCTTCTCTCCATCTCCATGGAGCCCACCTTGTCCGAGGCAGCAGCATGACCTGCCTGGCCCGCCCAACCCCTCTGTCCCTCTTTCTCATCCTCCCTCACCTCCCACCCACACACCATCCATTCTCCACCCACAGCCAACCATCCACTCATTTACTGGCTTCCCTGGGCACCCATGCTGTGCCAGGCTCTGTGCCAAACCCTGGGTGGGGGAGCAGTGAATTCGCCCATGATCCTTAGGGTGTGAGATGATTAGAGTGCAGTGTGACAGAGGCTAAACAGAGGTCTGTGCTGGGGTGCTGGATGTGGGGGGCTGCCTAAATCAGACCTGTGGGTAGCAGGGAAGGGCATGAGCTGAGCCTCAAATTCCAGTGGGCGCTGGTGATTCAGACAGGGAGAGCAGTGGCTAGGGAGAAAGGGTGGTCCCTGTAGACATGCTAGGGTGGGCAAAGCCAGCGTGAGGAGGACTTGGGGGGGGGGCCCTCTGAAATAAAGACATAGGAAGGCCTCAAAGGAGAGGAGTTTGGACCAGGGCGGAGAGGGTCGGCTCCGAGTGGCACTTCGAGGTGGCCTCTGGCTGCAGTGGGAGGCTTGGGCTGGAGGAGAGGAGATGACCCCCTAAGCCATTTTCCTCTGCATCTGGAAGGAGCCAGCAGTGTTGTCCATAGGCATCCCTCCAGGGCTTTGAACCTCAGGCTCCACACTGCACTGACATCCATTACATCATTTCATCTGCCCAGCATGCCCACGAAGTAGATACTTAATTCCCATTTTACTGCAGAAGAAACTAAGCTCCAAGAGGTTAACTGAGTTTCCTAACACCATGGGTTCAGGGGCAGAACACAAGAATAAGACCCCAGGACCGCCCAACTCTGAGCTCACATCCTTCCCAGCCTGCCTTCTCAGGAGGGCATGGTGACGTGGCCTCGTGGTTGGTTCAGAAACTGGGACTGGGGACCAGGCATTGTCTGAAATTTCCACTTGCACCCTGCCCACCCCCGCCCCCCATTTCCTATCACTCTTCTTTCTTTAGCTCTTTTCACTGTTTTGCATTCTATGTACTTTACTGATTTATCCTGTTTATGGTGTCTCCCATCACTAGTCTGTAAGCCCCATGCGCGATTTTGGCTGTTTTGTTCACTGCTGCATCCCCAGCAGCTGGAACAATGTGGACACGTAGCAGCTCTTCAGCAGACACTTGTTGCGGGAACGAAGGAGATGCCTGGTTCCAGCCTCACCCCTGACGAGTCTTGAATCAGCTTCTCACATGAGTTTTGCACCTGTCGAATGGTGTGCACAGCTGTCCTCCTCTGGCTTATTAGATTGGTCCATCATTTCTGTGAAATTATTTTGAAAGGCAAAATGCATTATGCTAAGATACGATAGAAATTTAGAATTGAGAGGGACTCCAGATTTCCGGTCCATCCCCTCCCTTTATAGCAGGGGGCGTGGAGGTCCACTGATGAGCTGGTCAAGGTGAGGACCCCTGAGACGTCTAGCCCTGTGTGTCTCCCCTGGCCCGCCCACACTCTTCGAGGAACCGCCACTATGGCCTCAAATGGAATTATTACTAACAGTGACCATTCCACTCACAAGCAAGAGAGACATTTGGAAAACATTTAAATTAAAGTTATTGAAGAAGCACAATGAGACCTCTTCCTCTAACTCAGCTTTTTAAGATGGAGTTCATTTTGGTAAAGATGGATGTAGATGCAAGTTGCTTTGCAGCCATTTAAGGTAACAAACTCACAGATGACTTATGGAGGTGATGGCTTGGAGTTTATTAACATGGCAGTTCCTGCTTGTCAGCAGGCTGGGTTCCCAAAGTCCCCTTGGCAGTCAGATCCTGTCTCCTCTGCCCTCCTGTATTTACTGGAGAGTCGTCACTTCTAATCTGACTTTGCCTTAGCGCTCTCTTCCACCTTCTGGATCAGTTAAGAGTTGACGGGTGATGTTGTCACAAAACATCCCATCAGCGGGTATGCTTTTTACTCTACAATTCTAGGTGAGAAGTGCCACATTCCTCAAGTTCTCTCTATATCATTTCATCTGCTCTGCACCCCGATCCTGTGATTCTGGTAGGATGTGCCATCTGTCTTTTTCAATTCCTCTCCTGTGTCTCAAGGTCACAGAAAGCCCCCCGACACCCCCACCTAAGAGGGTATCTTCTCTTAGCCTCGTGAGGTCTCCCCAGGCCGTGTGGTGTCTGCCTCTGTGCTCCCATGGCTCCGTCTCCTCTCTTCCACCTCTCCCAGAGTCTTGGGTCTTGGAGGTTTTCTGGCAATGCTGTCACTAGGCATGTTACACAGAAGCCACTGAGTCAATGAACAGAAAGGCTTGGCTGACTTTTTGGGCTACAGAGGGGAAAATATTCAGGGCGGCTGGAAAAACGGCTAATTATATCTTGATAAATTATCTCCCAGCAGCCAGTCCATTAAGAGTTATAAAAGTCCCCAAGATGTACTAAAATAAGAGATTCTGAATTCAGATTCATTTTACTGCTCAATTTTAACCAAGATCTGCTTTTCTCTCTGTTTTTATCCGGAGAGAAGTAAAACCTTGACAAGGCTGGGATCCTGGACTTCCACTTCTAGTCAATTCCTGGATCGTAGACCATGGATCCTGCTCAAATGCCCATCTAATTCGGTTAATGACGTGAGTGAAGCCCACTGAGTTTGGGGGGCGGGGAGAGTGAAGAGGGGCGGTCCTGACACCTGGAGCTCAATGGCTCTGGGTGAAGGCTCCTCAGCGCCAGGCTGAACACAACCCTCAAGAAAGGCCAGAATCAGAACCGTATGTGAAATTAGAGGTCAACGGATCCTGTTGTCTTTTAAACACTGACGGCCAAAATGGCATGGACTCAAGGAAGCTCGTCAGTGGTGGTGATGGGGAGGGGCAAGATCCCCCAGCTGGAGACCCCTAACTCTATATGCTCCCAGGCTTTGACGGGCCTGGGTGCTGGGCCTGGCTCTGCTGACTTCACCCATCCACCCCCATTCCTCTGGGGACAGGAAGAGAACTATCTTTAGGAGTGAAAGTCGGTCCGGAGTTGTCCCAAGGGAATTTTGCGTCCTTCGTTTCCTTGGAAGGCGCTGGTGCCCCCTGGAGGCAGCTGGCCTCCCCTGCAGGCCACTTCTCTGCAGAGAAAGGATTCCCACGCCCTGGCTATTTGCATAACTTATTTTCTCCTTTTTGTAGTAGAAGTCACGAGGAAGTCTAACGATCATACAGCAAGATATAACTCCCAAAGAATAAATCTTTTATTTAAAAAATAACTCATTTCCGGATGTGTTTTGATTTGTGCCGCTTCCTCAGAGAGAAGAACTTTTGGAAACCAGTTTTGAAGGCGGGGAGGGTGGAGGCAGTGCATGCTGGGAGGAGGATTGGGGGTCTTTAAATTCGACTTCTTCCCTGGCTGTCTTGTGTTTTCCCGGAGACAGGAAGCCAGCGGCCTCTGTCGCCTGCTATTCTAAACTGCTTGGACTAGGAAGCTGTGTTCAATGCCTGCGCCCTGGTTAATAAGGCAGCAGGGAAGTCCTCAGGCCGGGCGGCCGCTAACTCTATAAGGACCACGAGGTGTGAGATGGTGCCCTCTGTGGGCACGAGGGAGACAGGCTTCCCTGCCCAGGAGCGTGTTGGGGCTGCATCGTTGTCCTTTGTGAGCCGCGTCCTCTCCTTGCCCTGAAACTGTGTAGCATAGCCAGGGCCCCCGCTGACACACAGACGTGGCAAGGGGCTGTGTGGGCAGGACCCGGGACGCGGGAGACAAAAGGGTGAGAGAGTTGGGAGAAGAGGTGGGGTTCTCTCCTCCTGCTCCAGCCCAGCCTTAGAGAGGAGCCACGAGGTCTTCCAGGGCCCCCTCACACTCCTTTCTGGATGGAGCATCTCACTGCTGTGGGGCTGGACTCTGCTGCCCTGGGGGGTGGAACCAGTCTTCAGCAGGGATCTCAAGGGTGAAGGTCACCGTTTTTTGCTCTTTCCTAACTACATAGAGTCTGGTGGAGGAGTGGCTTAGTCCTGCCACAGCGCACCTGAACATGGGCCCCCCAGCACCCAGAGCCGCCTCCCTGGACCCTGGCCACCGTGGCCCTGTGCTGCCAGCCCCTTGTCAGGAAGCAGAGGTATATCCACTGTGCCCCCTCCTGACCCTCTGCCGCTCACATCTGGTACCCCGGGTCTCCTCTGCCTCCACGGCTTGCCCATGGCTGGTCTGCCACCCTCTCGATGCCCCCTGGGGCGGAGGCAGGAGGAGGAGATGGGCCCAGGATGCCACTGTGTTGCTTTCTCCCCGTAATGACCCTATGCCTGCCTACCTGGAGTGGGGTCGAGGATCCGCTGGTCCTGTCCTGCCCCAGAAAGCCGGCTTCTAGTCCTCTTCAGGTCCTTGATAATCCATTTGTCACTCACATTGTTACCACACAGCCCGGCTGGAGTTGTGTGGGCCTGCTGGCACCCATGGGTGCAAGTCAAAGGGGCTGCCCTCAGCCCTCCCTGCTCACTCCTGACGGACCTCCCTCCCCACCACAGCTCCAGGAGGGGCAGAGAAATAAGACGCCTTGGGCATCACATAATAATGCCCTTTCAGTGGAGAGGGGCCCCATTCATTCATTCATTCATTCACGGCCTGCTGACTTTCCTCCCCAGGGGACAGGCCTGTTTGGGGCTGGAAGAGCAGAGAGCAGGGCGAGTTCCCTTCCCTACAGAACAGGGGGAGACTGATGGTGCAGAGGAAGACAGACACTGTGGCGGGGGTGCCCCAGGGACTGAGGAGATGCAGAGAGAGAGGTCAGGGGGCTTCATCTGACCGGGTGCCATCTGAGCAGGTCCTGGGGAGCCAGCGGGGTTTGCCAGGTGAGAAGGGGGCATTAGGAAGCGTGGACAACCTAACACACCACAGGCCCTTTGTCGAGGTTGGGGTCCAGGTGTCCACAGGCCAGGGGTACCCTGGCGGTTGGGTGATGACAGCCTGGCCCAGCCCCTCTCCCTGCAGGGCGGGGGGAGCCTTGAAGGGTCCTCAAGCAGGGGGAGATGTGAGAAGGTTGTGTGGCAGAGCAACGGCCCTGGCTGTGGCCGGGGCACAGATGGGGCAGGAGACTGTGGTGGGGATTCAGGCATGGAGGCAGAACCCCAAGATGAGGGAGAGAAGCTGGCAGTGGGGCCCAGAGCAGAGTGCTGTTAACTCAGGTCACTCATCCTGAGTCCCGATGATGTGGGCACAGGGTGGAGGGGCGGGGGGACAGAGCAGAGGGAGTCGGGAGTGGCTTCCAGATCTCTGGCCTGATTTCTGGAGGGAGGGGTGACTCTGTACGAGATGGGGACCTGGGGGCAGGAATGGCGGTGGCCAGGCAGCCCTGGGGAGGGCGGGGGTGATGAGCTCATTCCGGGGCACTGAGAGTTTGAGGGGCCTGCAGTCCATCGGAGCAGAGGCTGCTGGGCAGCTGTGGGTCCCCTGGCTCTGCCACCAGAGAGAGGCCTGGAGGGATTTTGTTTTTCTTCTTTTTTCTCCAGTCTTCAGTCTCCAAGCAGGTGACAGTGCAAGAAGGCTGAGGTCAGGAAGCTTGACCCTTTCACTTGGCCTGCTCACCTCTGTGCCTCTTCTAAGACCAGGCCCAGGACCTATTCATGATGTGGTGGAAACAGCGGGCGCCTCGGAGCCAGACACATGTGGGTTCAGATCTCGTCTGCTCCCTCCCCAGCTGCCCGAGACAGTGCAATTCGTTGTAAGAAAACAAGCCTGTGGCTGATTAGAGCAGAAAGGGGTGTCTTGAGAGGAGCCTGGGCTGCCTACTGTGTGTACGGGTAGGCTAGGGGCCCAGGCTGGGCAGTGGGCGGGACAAGGAGCTACTGGACAGGATCTCAATCACGGTCGGGCCAGGGAAACACCTCTTGGGGATGCTGCTGCTCCCGCCCCTGCTGACGGCAGGCATGGTCGTGCTGCCTTGTACACTAGGCACTGGCCACTCTGCTGTCCGGCTCCTTTGGGTCACTTCCTCCAGAAAAAACATCCTGCAGAGAAGCCTCTGATTGGTCCAGGCAAGACCATGTGCCTGTACCCCACTGTCAGGGAGCTGGGAAAGTGGGTTTCCTGAGGTCTAGCTTTTAGTGGGGAAATGAGGACAGCTGCCATTGGCTGGGCACTGGATTAACTCATTTAATCTTCATAGCCTCAAAGGTGCTATCACCTGTCCTATTGTACAGATAAGGAAGCTGAGGCCCAGAGAGGTGAAGTAAATTGCTCAGAGTCACACAGCTGAGAAGTGGCTGGACAGCCCTTCCCACCCTGTGTGCTGAAGCCAGAACCTGGGCTCCCAGCCACCTCACTGCTTCTTCGTCTGTTGCCCACAGATTCATACGTGGAGTGATTCCCTGAATGTCCAGAGGGGTGCGAATGCTGGGTGGCCTAAAGGAGGACGACTGTCCCCTGTGCTAGGTGTGTGACCCCGGTGAATTGTTGAGCTTCTCTGAGTCTCAGCTGACTCCTGCAGAGATGATAGTGACGGTTGTCCACGTGCTGTGAAGCTCTGAAGAGACAGCGTGCAGGTCCCCCAGCCTAAGGGCTGTGCCGCCCCTTCCGCTATTGAAGAGCCGCCAAGATCTTTGCCATCTGCGAACCCTACGGCACCTCGCCCGGCACCTGCCCCGGGAGAAACTGTCAATCACCCCAGTGGTGCACATCAAGGGGACCCAAATTCTGTGAAAGGAAAACCCCCGAAAAAAATTAAACAACCACTGCTGACCGCTAGGGTATGGTTAGTGACTCACTTATACAATTTATTTTATCTGGTTTACTTTATTTTTGGAATAATGACTGCTGCCTTTGAAGATAATGATGTATGCTCATTTTAAGGATTTCAGAAAAAAGGAAAAGAATAAAGAAGAAAGCTAAAATATCCCCCCTGATTCTGCCACCTAGAAGGAACCATTGTTTGATTTAGGGGATCATTAGAAAGCCGTGTGCGTGTGCTCGTGCACATGTATGAGAGAGAGAGGGGAGGGAGGAGAGAGAGCTCCTAGAATGTAAGCACGGAGAGGGGTTGCACATTTGCCTGGACATTAACAGACATAGTAAAGAAAAAGGTGAGACCACAGTGCACAGGCTGCTACTAAAATTCAGTCCTGCACTGAGTCTTCCTTGACTTTATCAGGAGAAGGAACTTGAGTGAAATCTTGCCTTTGGCTGGGGTGCTCCTCTTTAAACAGGGCGGGTTCAAGCTTTTCCAGTGGAGAAAGCTCCCCGCCCCCGGTGTTGGTGGTGGCCCAGAGGCGTGCCCAGATCCCACAGCTCTCTGGGGTCTGGGGAGGGGGTGGTGAAGTAGGGCTGTGTGGTGAAGTCAGCCGGGTGCCATGGGGGAAGCTGCCTGTGACAGCTGCAGCCTGGACTCACCGGACAGCAAGGCCAGACGGCACCAATACTTCATCCTCGCTCGGACATCGTAGAGCCTGGGGCTCCCAGAGCACTGACCGGGGCTGAGGTTCCCTCCACCCTCCTGGCCTCACCCCCACCGTGACTTGGGGCAGGGCCCTAGAGGTCTCTCACTTTTGGGTCCTAGTGACTCCAGCAGAGCAGGCTTGTGTGGCTCCCAGGGCACCAGCCAGGGGCCTTATTCACCCCTGGTCTCCTTGTCTCCTCCTGGGGTTTGCTCAGCTCTGGAGGAGGTCTTGGTGTCTGCATGCTGCCAGCTCCTCACCCTGTTAGGAAAGGGCATGGTGACCAGAGGCAGCACAGTGAGAGGCTGCACTTGGACAAACAGGGCAGGCACGCATACCGCCGCCCGGGGCTGCTCTCCCTTCCTCGTGGCAGGATGCTGTGTGGCAGGAGACCTCACTTTAGGGTCTGTGGCAGGAGCTGGAGAGCTTGGAGAGAAGCTGGAGGAAAACGCAGACTTGGTGCCCCATATTCACGTGTGTTCATTGCGCGTCCTTCGCCTGGGCACCAGGTGCCGTGCTGCGTGGCCGGCAGCAGGAGACGAGGACAAATACGACGACTCCTGCCCCTGAGGGCTATGCAGCAGGGTGGGGACAGAAATGATCCCAGGGCAGAGGGGGAGAGGTGCTATAACAGGAAAGACGCAGGTGCAGGGAGGGTAAGGTGGGGCCAGTGTGCCGGGAGAGTGGACGTGCGTCACCTCTGGGCCTGCGCTGTCCCACACGGGAGCCACCAGCTTCCAGTGGCCCCGAGCAATAAACATGTGGTGCACAAGAATGGGCATGTGCGCTAAGTGCAGCCCACACGTCAGATTCCAAAGACTTAGGGCAGTAACATTTCATTCGTAATAATTTTTAAGTTGAGTATGTGTTGAAATGAGACTACTGTGAATCTAGTGGGTTAAGCGAATTATACTATTAAAATTAACTTCACCTGTTCCTTTTTACTTTTCTTAAGTGTGGCTGCTGGAAAATGTCAAGTGACACGTGTGCCTGGCATCTGTGGCTCACTTTGTGACTCTATGGGACAGAGGTGCTCTAGTTGACAGCATGAGGAAAAGGGGTTGGCCATTAAGAAGCATGGGTGCGGGCAGATCCGGACTTCCGCTCCCCAAAGTAACTACAATGGAGGGGTGGCCTTTGAAGGGGGCCAGCTGCTATCCTTAGGTGTCCAGAGAGGATACTGGCAGTGGTGAAGAGACTGATGGATGAGGCTAATCAGAGCTCAGCAGGGCCCTTTGCTGCCCCTCGGGGGCCTCAGGCAGGACCACATGCTGGAATGCCCTTGGGGTATGGCCCAGAGGTCCCGCCCACCCCGGGGCTCTGCTGAAAGAGGTCATCCCGGCAGCCCTGCAGGCCTGGGCTCCGCCTCGCCCTCAGCAGAGTGTGCTGGAGCATCTCCTTGGCTCTGGTGAGGGCGGCTTCAGCGGGGACAGCCACGTGGGGCACCACGCCCACCCCTTCCCAGGAGCTGCCATCCGCAACCCCCACTGAGCGGGCCGTGGGGATGGTGAGGTAGAGGTCGGTGTCATCCACGTGATAGGTTTGCGGCGGCTGGCAGCCCCCGCTGGTCACCTCCCCAACGACCACTGCCCGCCCCAGCCTCTTCATGATGTAGGTAAATTCCTCTGCAGCGCCAGCCGTCACGCTGCTGGTCAGAATGACCACATTCTTCTTGGAGCCGTAGCGTTCACCTGCAAGACAGAAGGCCCTTCAGCGTAGGGAGTCAAGGCATGACCCGGGGGCACCTGCCTTCTCCATGCTGTCTGCACCCTCCGAGAGAAGGGCTGAGATTTAGTTCTGCGTCCTTGTGTCCACCTGCAAGTCACTCCCCTTCTGTGAGCCCCAGTTTCTGCATCTGTAAGACGGGGATATGAATGTGTGCCCAATGCCCAGCACGCATGTGCTTGAGAGCTCCCTGATGAATGCTCTTTTATTGCCAAGTAATGGGAAAAAGCTTGACTTTCCTGAGTAAAGGGCATGTTTCCTCTTTACGAATAATTAGAATGCCTAAACTGACCCTATTCTCTTTTCACTTTGGACCCTCGGAGGAGCCAAATTTGTGGCTTGACAACTACACTCAAGGACAGAGACGCCCCATAGAAATACAACATGAGCCAGAATGTGAGCCACAGATGTCATTTCAAGTTTCCGAGTAGCCACATTAAGCAAGTAAAAAGAAACAGATGAAATGGACTTTAATAATGCCTCATTTAACTGGAGATAGCCAAAATATGTTCATCTCAAAATGTCATCACATGAAATTATTAATGAGATATTTTACATTCTTTTTTCTCATACAAAGTCTTCAAAGTATAGTGTGCACTTTACACTTCACACGTCACAATTTTTATGGCCATGTGTGGCATGTGGCTCCCATATTGGATGTTGCCTTTCCAGCACCCCATGATCTGCAGATCTGAGTTTGTTTTTAACTCCTGGTCTTGAATTTTTGTTTGAATTCAGAACTCTCATGGTTCTGATTTTTATTTGCATTTTGCAATATTATTGAATGTGTGTCCTGGATGGTCCCCCCGAATCCTTGTGTGATAAGGAGGTATACAAATGGAAACTGTGGGTGCTTTTCTGGTCATAGGTACCCCCTCCTTGGTCTTCCAGCCCCCCTTTTGTTGGGTGGGATCACAGCTTCCTTAGTTTGCCGAACCAGGCATGGGAGATGGTATGAGGCTGACCACCCGGGACGGGGCTGGGAGAGTCATGCGTGGCTCCACGGAGCAAGGGGCCTGCACGGCTCTGGGCCCAGGGCAGGTAATGGGGGACCCCTCAGAGTCCTGAAATTCCTTCAGGCAAGTGTGTGCAGCTGCTGCAAAGAGCTCAGGGAAGATGAATACGGGGAACCCCATGGGGTTTGGTGATGGACAGGGGGACCCTTCTTGTTCTGCATTCACCTTGAAGGCTGATGGTTGTAATGGTGAGAATGGGGGACCTTTTGGTTTTAGACAAACCAGTGTTCAAATTTTGGCACTTTCATTTTGGTTTTAGTAGCTGAGTGACCTTAGACAAGATATTCAACCCAGCTGAGACTCATTTTTCTCCTCTAGAAAATGAGCATAACGGTATGAGTCTGGGGGGGATTAAAGATCTTGTGTACAAAGGGCACAGCATAGGAGACGGGTTTGATATTCCATTTACTGTTACTTTTACCTGAACCTTAGCTATCGTTCCCTATTTTCCAGAAGCTTCTAGAATGAGAACAGGAAGTAGCAGCTTTCTCCACGCACCTGTGAGCTGAGAGTGGGTCCAGAGCTCACTGATGGAGTCGTTGGGCCGGCTGTAGATTTTGTCCAGCAGAATCGGAGGGCCTTCGTCATAGAAGAAGGAACACAGGGCGGAGATGGAGGAGGTGGGGCCACCGATGTTGAACCTGAGGGAAGGAGATGGAGGGCACCGAGGGGCTGAGCTCCCAGTGAGGCCCTTGGTCCCCCCGGGAGCCCTGGCTCTTTCCCCTGTCGAGGGTTCCAGTTCCAGGCAGTCTTCGTCGGGGGCCCCTTCCTCCTCCTATTTAATGCCTTGGTCAGCATTTCCCAGAGTACAAAACTCTTGAGAACGAGAGACTTTGTGGCCAAATTCATTTAGAAAATACAGGCATGCCTTGTTCCATTGTGTTTTGCTTTATCGCCCTTCACAGATATTGCGTTTTTGACAAATTGAAGGTTTGTGGCAACCCTTTGTTGAGCAAGTCTATCAGCACCATTTTTCCAACAGTATCTGCTCACTTTGTGTCACTGTGTCAAATTTTGGTAATTCTGGCAATATTTCAAACTTTTTCATTGTTATTATATTGTCATGGGGATCTGTAATGTTTCTATGGTAATTGTTTTGGGTGCTATGAATTGTGCCCATGTAAGACGGCTAACTTAAATGACAAATGTGTGTGTTCTGACTGTTCTCCTGACTGGCTGTTCCTCCGTCTCTCTCCCTCTCCTGAGACACGACAATAGTGCAACTAGGCCAATTAATAACCTCCAATGGCCTCTAAGTGTTCAAGAGAATGGAAGAGTCAACGTCTCTCAATTTAAATCAAAAGCTAGAAGCAATGGAGCTCAGTGAGGGAGGCATGTCGAGAGCTGAGACAGGCCGAAAGCTGGGCCTCCTATGCCAAATGTTAGCCAAGTGTGAATGCAAGGGAGAAGTTCTTGAAGGAAATTAAAAGTGCCACTCCAGTGAACACACGAATGAGAAGAAAACAAAACAGCCTCATTGCTGATAGGGAGACAGTTGTAGTGGTCTGGACTGACGATCAAACCAGCCACCACATTCCCTTAAGCCACAGCCTAGTCCCGAGCCAGGCCCTCACTCTCCTCAATTCTGTGAAGGCTGAGAGAGGGGAGGAAGCTGCAGAAGAGAGCCTGAAGCCAGCAGAGGTCGGCTCACGCGGTTTAAGGAAAGCAGCGTCTCCACGGCATAAAAGTGCAGGTGAAGCAGCAGGTGCTGATGCAGAGGCTGCGGCAAGTTCTCCAGAAGCTCCAGCTGAGATGGTAATGAAGGGGCTGCACTGAACAACAGACTTCCAACGCAGATGAAACAGCGTTCTATCGGAAGATGCCATCTAGGACTTTCACAGCTAGAGAGGAGAAGTCAGTGCCTGGCTTCAAACTTCAAAGGACAGGCTGACTCTCTCATGAGGGGCTAATGCAGCTGGTGACTTTCAGTTGAAGCCAGCGCTCACTTACCATTCTGAGAATCCTAGGGCCCTTAAGAATTACACTAAATCTACTCTGCCTGTCCTTCATAAATGGAACCACAAAGCCTGGATGACAGCACATCTGTCTACAACATGGTTTACTGAATATTTGAAGCCCACTGTTGAGACCTACTGCTCAGAAAAAAGACTCCTTTCCAAATATTACTGCTCATCGACGTACCACCTGGTCACCGAGGAGCTCTGATGGAGATGTACGAGATTAACGTTGTTTTCATGCCCGCTAACACAACATCCACTCCGCAGCCCATGGATCAAGGAGTAACTTTGACTTTCAAGTCTTATGATTTAAGAAATACGTTTTGTAAGGCTATAGCTGCCATAGATAGTGATTCCTCTGATGGATCTGGGCAAAGTCAATTGAAAACCTCTAGAAAGGATTCACCATTCTAGATGCCATTAAGAACACTCATGATTCATGGGAAGAGGTCAAAATAACCCTCCTGGATGATTTCAAGGGCTTCAAGACTTCAGTGGAGCAAGTAACTGCAGATGGGGTGGAAATAGCAAGAGAACTAGAATTAGAAGTGGAGCCTGAAGACGTGACTGAGGTGCTGCCATCTGATGATAAAACTTTAATGGATGAGGAGTTGCTTCTCATGGATGTGCATGAAAGTGGTCTCTTGAAATGGGATCTACTCTTGAAGAAGATGCTGTGAAGATTGTTGAAATGACAACAAAGAGTTTAGAATATCACAGGAACTTTGTTGGTAAAGCAGTGGCATGCTCAGAGCTATGGAACCGTGTTGAGGATGAGAGAGCCTATGCCCGTCCCAGGCCATTTGGATTTGCCCTGTGGTAGGACCTCCCTGGGCCTCTGTCTCCTCATCTGGGAAATGAGGAGTGCAGGGCTGGCTGTGCGTTAGGAGCCTTTTCTGGTTGATGGTCTAGGATGGCCCTGCTGGGTTCAGGGCCCATGACCTCAGCCTCTGAACCTCCAAACCTTGGGCAGGAAGGATCTTAAAGCAAAGCACACCTGTAGGCTGGGCCTCTTCCTCTTTAAAAAATATGGATGGCACAGGTAAGCAGAGAGGGACTTAGCATGACAGTCGTTTGGATGTTCGATAGAGCATTTGAAGAGCAAAATGACGAGAGGTACCACAGGAACCCCCAATCTCGTGTTCTGGGCACACACCCTGGAGCCCTGGGAGACGTTTCATCTCCCAGGGAGGAAAGCCAGCCTCTGGGATCCAGAGCCACCTAGGGACCACTAAGAACCACGGGAATGTTGCAGGCCAGAGACCAGAGCTGGACTGGACACACCCTCTTGGCCAATCTTAGCCACGTCTCTCTGGCAGCCGGGGGTCAGTGGGGAAGGAAGCATCCACATCCCAGGGGAGCAGCATGCCCCTCCTTGTGTGGTGAAGGATGCCCAGGGCAAGTTCTCTCATGGACCTGGGAGTCACAGGAGGCCGGGGCCCGGCCACTGCCCAAGGGCATTCTTCCACTTTTCCCAAGGGAAACTCACTCTAGAAGCTGACACACACCTTTACAGAGGCAGAAGGGCGGAGGCTAGCTGAGAGCATCCCTCTGACTCTCATTTTGTGATGCAAAGAGTTCTTTTTACAACAATAGTGGCTAATTCGCAAATTCTCTCTGGGACTCCGGCTTTCTGGTTCTTGTGACCAGGGTGGCCATGGGCGGGTTTTGTATGATGAGAGTCACAGTCACAGGTGGAGGCCTTGCTGTCTCACACGTGCCTGATCATCAGAACCCCCTGGGGCCTGCCTGTTAAATAGACGGATCACTGGGCCTCGTGCCTGGAGCTTTGGACTCAGTGGGGCTGGGGTGGAGCCCTGGAATCGGTGTTTTTAAGGTTTCCCTTCCCCTCCCTCTCCACTGAGTCCTATGACCAGGCAAGTTTGCAGACCACCGAATTAGCCCAGTGATTCTCAGCCTGGAATGCACATTGGGATCATATGAGGAGCTGAAAAGAATCTACAGGTGCTGGGGCCCCACCCGGCCAATTACTCCAGAACCTCTGGGCTAGGGCCAGAGCCCTGATGGCCGGGTCACCTAGCCCTCTCAGCTCCCGTCCTGTGTCTCAAGTCCTTTTTCTTCCCTCCTAGGCCCGTAGCTTTGACTGTTCTCCATCAGCTGGCCTGGCCAGCTTGGAAGCGCTGGCCCCTGGCCCACTGACCTCATGTCGACAATCATGGCGTCCGTGTGCACAATCTTCTTCCAGACGTGCTCCACCAGCAGCTCAGAGACCTGAGTGAGCAGCTCATTGTCTGCGAACATGTCGAATCGCAAGTAGCCGATGTTGTCTTCAAGCACGTTCGTGTGGAAGGAGAACTTGATCAGGTCTTCGAAGGCCTCAGGGGAGGGAATCTGAAAGATCGGGAGGTGCAGCCCAGCGTCAGGAGAGGAGTGGAGCTGAGAGCGTGGGAAAGTGGGCACCTAGGATTTCCTTCGTGTCGTGAGAAATATTGAGGGTATGGGAAGGGAACGAACATTTCTGAAGGAGGCGGGAGGTGCCAGGGCCTTTTCCGATGGTGTCTAGGAAGTTACCCCGTTGGCTGGCCTGGGATGTGAACCCACGTGTGGTCAGCAGCCTCACCACAGAGAGTGCTCATATGTGCCCATCCCACGCCCTGGTGTCCGGAGCTGAAAGGCCCATGGTCTCCACTTTGACTCCCCCGATCTCACCAGACACTTCTTGACGTCCCTGAGCATCCTCCCTGGGCAGGGAGGGAAGACATTCCTGCGCCCCTGAGTCTTTACCAGGGGCCTGGTCCTGTGCTGAACACATTGTAGTCCTTTTCTTCACCCCCACGGCCAACTTGTGGAGGAGACACCATTATCCCTTCTTTTCAATGAGGAAACAGAAGCACAGAGTGATTAAGTAACTTGCCCAAAGCCACACAGCCAGTAAGTGGTGAAATCAGAATCTGAATCTACATGTCGCACCAAACTGTGAGCTCTGACTACGCTGGAAAGGAGTGAGCCGTTGGTTTAGAATCTGGAGACCTCACGAGCCTAGTACAGGGATGGCACTTCCAAGGTTCCCCCAGCATGCCTGGGCCTCCGCTACTCTCTCCAAGGCTGCTGGAGGACGGCAGGCTCTGTGAGCGGGGCTGAGAGCAAGGAGCTGGCAGGGACCCCACTGTTGACGGGGACACCTGGTCTCCAGGCCCTGCTCCACCCTCAGTCTCAAGCTCTTTGGCCACAGGTCACACTCATCTGCACCCTTCCAGGCCTCAGTTCCCCTTTTTGTAAAATGGGATAACCATTGTGCAGTAGATGCTTTTGGTGCCCTCAGCCCTCGTCTGATTTCAGCTGCAGCTGGACCCCTGCAGACAGGGCCAGGCCTCCAGCACAGCCCTGTGTCTTTCTACTCTCTGCTTCAGAACCTGCTTCAAGCTGCCTCTGAGTTCGAGAGTTCATGTCTCTGGAAGGACCCTCAAGCCATCGAGGACTGGCACTGTTGGGGGGCATTCCTCACACATGTCAGGGGCCCGTTGGAACCTTCAGAGGCAACGGCCTCAGTCATGCACCCACTTGTCAGCTTTTCCTCCTTTTCCCACTTTCCCTGCCCCCTCTCTGGGCTTCAGCGCCACCTCCCACCCAAATGGCCTGCCCCGAAGCTCTTTGTCTCGGGACCCGCTTTCAAGGCACCCAAGACAGCTGGGGCCTGCCTGCTCGCCGTGACTGTGCGGTGAGTCACAGATGGTGGACGGTGTGGAGAGGTGTTGTAAATGCTGCTTTGGATGGAGCTCTCCTCCTACGGGAACTGGGTGGGCCCTGAGGCTGACCGTGGCCCCAGTCTGCAGACTCTGTCCGTCATCCACCCAGCAGCAAGACCCTCAGCCTTGATGCACCTTTTCAGTGTTGCCCAGAACTGCAGTGCTGGTTTCAAATATTTCATCACAAGAGCCTCGCTTAGAATCGCCGGTCCAGCCACCCCCTGGATCAGGCGGCACCCCCACCCAGCCCCCTCCTTTGGGATGTAGTGCTTCGCGTTGTGGGAGGAGACGAGCAGGCAGCCGGTGCCTAGCGAGGAAGGCTCACCACTCTGGCTTTCTGGGCTGGGCCCCGGCCCCCCTGACCATTCCGGGGCCTGTGTCCAGGCTCCACGCTCCAGCTGCCAGGCAACTGTGAGGCCAGGGCCCCCCGCCTGCCTCCCCGTCTCCCACCCTCCCACTCGTTCACAAGAACTGCAAAGCCCTGAGGCAGGAGAGTGGTGAGCATGAACACATGCTGCACGTTTCCAGAGGACAAAATTGAGGTGACTTCACGCGACCTATTGACCCCAACACTGGTAAGGAGAGGCCCAGCGAGTCCTTGCCTCCCACCCAGCCAAGAGAGAAGCGCCTTCTGCACCAGGGCTTCTCCGACTGAGTTCCTGTGGGTGCCAGGGTTCTACAGAGGTGCTCAGGGACCCCACGGGCATAGGGAGTTGATGGGAAAAGATGGGATGGGTGACAACTTAAACACAAAAGCAAGTCTAGAAGCCTTTGTCCCGCACCATGCACAGAGCCCGGGGCGTGAGGACAACTGGCCAACTCATTCCTGGCACCGTGCGGGCCGAGCCCCCCATGATTCTCACCTGCATGGGCACAATCCCAGGAATTCGGTCCTTGGCATCCTCGGGGATGTGGGCCGTCTTCAGGTGTGGGTCCCCGGAGAGCATCTGCAGGTCGGCCTCCAGCATCTCGGCCAGGGCGCCTTCGGAGGTCACCCTGGCATAGCGGCTCTGCATGCGGCTCAGTTTGGCAGCCACCTTGGCCCCCAGCTCGGGGGAGGCGTAGTTATCGGCCACCAGCTTCCCGGCCGTCTGCAGCACGGTGGGCACCTTGGCGCGCAGGGCCACTATGTCCCGGGCTGTGGAGAGGGCCTCGCTCATGGGCACTGTGATGTCGGGCTCCACTCCAGCCAGGTCCCAGGCCTCGCCTGTGGTGGCGCTCAGGGCCATCTGTGTGGGCATGGAGGCATACAAGGGGCTGCTGCCCACCTGGTAGATGCCCACGGAGAGCGCCCCTCCAGCCGTGGGCTCCCCGATGACAGTGGCCCTCTGCAGGTCCTGCATGGTGTGAGCAAAAGCCTCGGCCGCAGATCCACTGGTGTGGCTCATCAGGATGTAGAGGTCCTTGTGGGAGCCGTAGCGCTGGCCTGCCACTTGGCGCACGGTCCACACCTCCGTGACCCTTGAGGTGGCCCTATCAAAGACGGAGTAAAGGTGCTGGTGGGGCTCGGCCTCAAAGAAGTAGGAGCAGAGCAGCGGCACCGCCGTGGAGTAGCTGCCGGGGTTGTAGCGCAGGTCGATGATCAGCGCGGCCGTGTCCACCAGCCTTTGCCACACCAGCTGCACCAGCTGTGGCCCGATGGCCCTCACCGTCTCCAGCTCGGCCATGGCATCGAAACGCAGGTAGCCCAGCTGGCCGGGCAGCACCTCGGTCTTGAACAGAGCCTCGATGAGATAGGAGAGTTCCTCTGGGGAGGGGACAGCGGGAGGGGGCGGGGGCGCCTCTTCAGCCGCGAGCTCGCCCGGGCTGTGGAACACCAGCAGCCGGTGGTCTCCAGACATCTCCTGCAGGTCGGCCGTGAGCTGGGAGGCCAGCGACTCCAGGTCCACCGCTGTGCGGTAGGCCCCCTGAGCCAGCTTGGCTTGCAGCAGGGCACCAGTCTGCCCGACCACCTCTGGTCGGGCGTAGTGGGCCTCCAGGAGGTGTCCTGTGCCCTCCACCAGGGCCCCCAGGTTGCGGTGGAACTCCAGCACCTCCTGGGCTCTGTCCAGGGCCTCCTCGGCCAGCACGATGGCGTCGGGCACCACGCCACCTCCCAGCCAGCATTCGCCGTGGTTGTCGATGAAGGTGAGCACGGGCACTGTGAGGGCCAGGCCACCCTCGGGCGTCTCCAGCAGGGGCACCGTGCAGGTGTGCAGCAGGCTGCCAGCGGTGATCTCACCCACCAGCGTGGCCCAGCCCAGCGACTGCATGAGGAAGGCCAGCTCTTCGGCGGCGGTGGCAGTGCGGTGGCTGGTGAGCAGGTACACCCCTCGCTGGGTGCTGTAGCGCTGGCCCAGCAGGTCCGTGCGGCTGAAGTGCTCCTGTGTGACGTTGGTGCGACGGTCGTAGGTGGTGAAGAGGCGCACGGGGCCGGGCTCAGGGCCCTGGAAGTAGGAGAGCAGCAGGGGCACGGCGGAGGACGGCCCCCCGGGGTTCTGGCGCAGGTCCAGGATGAGGTGCTCCGTGTCCTGCAGCGGCTCCCACACCTGGCGCACGATGTACGGGCCCAGCGGGCCCAGCACGGAGGCGTCGGCAAAGCTGTCGAAGCGCAGGTAGCCCACGTTCCCCGGCAGCACGGACACCTGGAACACGGCATCCACCAAGGCCTGCAGGGCAGCCTCATCCACGGGCACTGCGGGGGCTATCTCTGGGGGGGCATCAGCTCCAGCCTCCAGCCCGGGAGGGGTCTCTTTGGACCTGACGACCCACACCAGGAGCCTGGGGTCCTCGGAGACAGCCTGCAGGCCAGCGTTGAGCTTAGCGACCAGATCGTCCTCAGAGACCACTGAGGAGAAGTCCATGCTGGCCAGGTGGTGCAGCAGGGCAGGCACGCGGTCCACCAGCGTGTAGTAGTCCTGTAGGGCCTCCTTCAGGCGTTGGATGACTCCTGGCAGGGCACGGCGCAGTGTGAGGATGGACAGGGCTTTCTCTAGGGCCTGCTCGGCCGGGGTCCCCACACAGGGCAGAACTCCACTGCCCTCCCATGTTTGGCTACCCCCGCCCAGGGGCCCCAGGGACCTGGACACGGGCACGGTGAGGAAGAAGTCGGACTGGCCTATCCTCAGCTTCTGGAGGTCCAGGGCACCTCCCACGGTCCGCTCACCCACCACGATGGCCCTGCGCATCTGTTTGAGGATGTAAGCAATGTCCTCGGCCACGCCCCCGGTGTGGCCACTGGTGAGGACCACCACATCCCTGTCGGCACTGTACCTCTCTCCCAGGACCTCGGGCAGGGTCCAGATCTCAGTGGTCGTATTGGAGGGGCGGTCGTAGATGGTGTCCACGTGCAGGACCGTGTTTCCTGGGTGCAGGTAGGAGATGATATAGGGGATGCCGGAAACGTGGCCCCCAGTGCAGTGCCGGAGGTCCAGCACCAAGGCAGAGGTGCCCATGAGCTTCCTCCAGACATTGTCCACCAGGAAGCCCCCCAGCTTGCTCACCACCTCCTGGCCCGGGATGTCGTCCACTCGCAAGTAGCCCACGTCGCCCTCCAGAATGTCATAGCGGATGCCCTCCTGCAGCCGAGCAAGCAGTTCCTCTTGTGTGAGGTTGGTGAGTGCCGGGGCTTTCTTGGGAGCCTCGAGCGTGCTGGGCTCATAGGAGATGACCAGCCGAGGGTCGTTCAGGGAGTTTTGCACCCCGGCTGTCAGCACTTGGGCCAGTGTCTGTGGGTCTGAGATGGCCAGGATCTCTTGGCTCTTGATGGCCTGCTCAATGGCTTCCTGCATCCCCATCAGGTTCTCCGGGAAACAGTAGTTGTCCAGGAGGACCTTGGCCATGTCCAGCACCAGGCTCGGCTGGAACAGGTGCGTGGGGCCAGCCAGGCCACAGAGCAGCATGGACAAGATCAGGGCCCATTCTCTCATCATGGGGATCCAGAAGGAGGGCTGGCTCCTGTGCAGACGCTCCCTAAACTCTGCACAGCTCTGCACTGCACGGCTGTCGTCTTTCCTGTCCTTCTCAGCCGGCGGACAGAAGGTCTGGGGAGTTGGGGTGCGGCTTCCAGCTCCGGTAAGCCTTTAATCCTGTCTAATGCAAGCACATCAGCCCCGGGGACTGGGGAGAAGGGGCTGAGGTGGTTTGACCCAGAAGGTGTGTTGGACCTCCTCTCACTGTGCCACCTCTGTGTATGATAAGGTGAATAACTGTCGTGTCCTGGGAGCCCCTGCCACATGCCAGGCACTGTGCTCCATGCTTTATGAGCTGACAGTCCTCACCAGAGCCTCGCAAAGTAGAGTCATTAACCACTCATCAATAGCATTGCCCCACCACACTGTGGGATCCAGGACTCTGGAATTAGGTGGAACGTGGAGGCCTGGTTCTGCCACTCTCTACTCTGTGGCCTTGCAGAAGTGTCTTACTGATTGTGTCGATTAAGTGAGAAAATATGTATAAAACACCTCACAGGGTCAGGCAAGGAGAAGGCACTTGATGGCTGATGAGTTCTCCGTGTTCGATATTATCTCTGGTTTACGGCTAAAGAAGGAGAGTTCAGTAGCCAACTGAAGCCCACCATCTTAGGCAGGGAGCTGTGGGGGCAGCGAGAAGCCTGTGGGGCCACAGTCAGCTCAGGCCACACACAACTTGAGTCTAAGGCCGCCGTCCACGTCGGAGCTTGAAGTTTACTCCTAGTCCTGCTAATGCCTCCAGGAAACCCGAGTGGCCCCCTCGACATCTTTCAAACAGTGGGATGAGATGTCTGGACCTCAACACGGGTGTGGTGAGTGGGAGGGGCATCTGCCTTCCAGACACCGTGGGACCCGTGACCGCACGTCAGATGAAGTTAGCTCTGAGATCTAACAGGCGTCCGTTCTTCCAGCTAACGAAGACCCCTGCTGGTGGGGGCTCAGCCCGCGGCCCACTGCTTGCAGGGAGAACAAAGCCGCAGGACTTGTCTCTCTGGGGTCCCAGATTTCACAGGTATCCAGATCACCCCCGCACCTGCAGGGAGCTCACGAGCCAGTCCCGGGTGACCTGCTGACTCTCGGGCTCCCAGCTCCTGCTCCTTAGCCTAGAAGAGACATGGGTCCTGCTTGTGACGGACTCTCCACAGATATCCAAAAATACCTGCCACCGAGCCTAGAACCTAGAACTTCTGCTTTTAGGGGTCCCTCTGGGGGAGGGCACTGCCCTCAATTAACAGAAGAGCAACTAGGGCTCAGAGTGCTGTCGGTGGCGCAGCCAGGGAAGAGCGCTGGGCGAGCGCCTGGCTCGGCCCTTCTCGCCTCCCCCTTGTCCCAGCACACTTCCTGGGCCCTGCGGGCAGCAGGCCAGCGCACGTGTGCCTCAGCAGGCAGCCGGAGGAGGTGGTCTGGGGGACAAGGGGGCTTTCTCAGCACCCTCGAGAGCCACAATCCGCTCTCTGGAAATGATTATCTGAGGATGTTTACCAAGTGGTTTATGAAGGCCAAGAGGTCAATTAGCTAAAACAAACATATTTTTAGCTCATTAGGATTTGTTTAATGCCCAAGTGACATATGGTCGCATCACTCCACCATTTGCAGCCAATGAACTGAGCCCGATTTATTATAATAATGAGGCCTCCTTAGTCCCCGCCTCCCCTCGGGGCATCACAACTCAGAGTGTACCATCCCGGGCCTCTGAGGGCACTGTTCTGTCATCACGGAGCCCAGGCAGAGCCTCTAGACCTGGAAGAAGTCTCTTATTGGGGAAAGCGCTGTTCCCAGACCCTTCTTAAAGTGCAGTCTCTGAACGGGACGCCTGGAGCTGTTGCTGGGCTGCGATTTGTGTGGAAGGCTCAGAGCCGGGTCTGCTTCAAGTCACAGGGTGCCTGAGTCAGGCTGTGCCTGCAAGGGGAGGCGAGGTGTCCTCCTGTGGGTGTGGCCTGAGGCCAGAGAGAGGAAATTCTGTCCCAGGAGTCCTCCAAACTCTCCAGGGGACCTGGAGGTGAGGGGGAATGTAAGCAGGTGGCAGCCGGCAGAGGAGAGCATGCTCTGGGCAAGCCCCAGAGTGGGATCCAGGAGGATCTCTACATCTTCCCGTCCGGCCCCTGCCAGCTGTTGGCCCTGGGGGCTGCAGAGTCCCTTTGCAATCTTGGGGTTGAGTCTGAGTCGGGACTGAGTCAGAAGTCCCTGCCTCCCCTCACTTGTACAAGCACATGGGCACGAGGGGTCAAGAATGTGCGTTTAGGAGCCACCCCAAACCCTCCTGCTTTCTAGTGTAGAGACTTCGATTAGACAACATGACTTCTCTGTGCCTTGGCTTCCTCAAAAGGGAACCGGGATGAGGAGAAGAGCCTTGCAGTATTGTTGTAAGAGCATTAGCGAGTATAATAAAGAAGCCGAGGTCACAGCAGGAGTTGAAGAGTGGCAGCCATGATCGGACCTCCCCTGTGGGGTTGGGAAGAGATACTCCAAGAGGCTGGGGTTGTCTTTGGGACCCTCCGGTACTGAGTGCTTCTGAGGTCCCAAACCTTCTGTGTGTGTCTGGAGAGACTTTACACCTGAGAAATACCCAGTCCTGGTGCTTACTCCAAAGCACCCCACACAGTGACCAGAGCATCAGATTCAAAAGGGAATGATGGCATAAAAAGTGTGCTGTTAGGATGATCAAAGGGAACAGGCCTGAAGCCTGGGCGAGCTAGGAAGGAGTGAATCACCTCTTACAATATAGATTCACTCTTTCCACTTCGCTTGTCTGTTTGGCTATTTATGCATCCACCCAACCATCCATCGATCCCTATCCATCCATCCATCCATCCACCCACCCATCCATTCTTCCATCCAACCATCCATCCATCCATCCATCCATCCAACCGTCCATCCATCCATCCATCCAACCGTCTATCCATCCATCCATCAATCCATCCATCCATCCATCCATCCATCCACCCATCCATCCTTCCATCCAACCATCCAACAATCCATCCATCCCTATCCATCCATCCACCCATCCACCCCCATTCATCAGTCTATCCATCCATCCATCCAATTATCATCTATCTATCTGTCATCTATCTAATCTATTGTTTTATGTTAGCGTTTCCCTCAATGGTCACTATGGACACTTTCAAGTAGTATAGCAAATATCCGCATCCCATCTACCTAGATTCTACCACTGACATTTTATTACCCTTTGTTATGTCACCTTTGTCTCTCTGGCCCCCTCTCTAACCCTCAAGCCCACATATTTTTTGGATGCATTTCAAAGCAAGTTGAATCTTGACTTTATTTGTTTTAATCCTTTTTTGTTTTAATTTTTTTAAAATAAGAGTGAAACATACTCATTTTCACAAGTTAAATAATTCATAAGTGCATGAACAATCTTTTACCAGAGCCTGTCTAATCCGGCCAATCATAACAGTTTAACGTGTAGCTGTCCTCACCTTTCTCTGTGTTCACACGTGGAAACACATCTGTAGGAAATAAATCTGTCCATCCACCTATGGTTGCCCATCCATCCATCCATCTATCTATTGTCACCTCATAATAGTATACACAGTAATTTGCATTTCGTTTTACTCATTTAAACATACGGCAGAAACAGCTTTCCAAGTTGAAGCGCATACGTAATGTTCATCCTTTTAATGTCTGTGTAATAGTCCTCGATAATTTACTGATCCATTCCCCTAGAGAGGGATATTTTGAGTTCTTTCTGTTTTTGCTTCTGTAAACAATATTGTGATAAATGTTCTCGAACACGTGTTCATAAGGACTGGGGCTTCTTATTTCTGAAGAAGAAATCAAAGAGCATGTGCACTCTTTATTTGATTTTTTTCTTTATTGTATTTTCCAGTAACTTTTAAATTATATGATAAATGTATATTTTTTACAGCTCTATGTATAATTTACATACAATAAACTTCCTGTATTTGAAGCGTACGGTTTGGTGAGTTTTGACGTGTGTGTATACACCCTTGAAACTATCACCACAATCAAGATAATGCATATTTCCTTCACCCTCAAGTTTTCCTCGTGCCCCTTTGTTATCCAATGGCCCCTGCATCTCCATCTCCAGGCAAACACTGGTCCACTTGCTGCCATCACTATAGATTTGTTTGCATTTTCTAGAATTTTATATAAATGGAATTATACCATGTGCACTGCTTTTTGTCTGTCTCTTCTTACTCAGCATAATGATTTTGAGATTCACTTATGTTGTTGAGTGGACCATTAGTTTATTTGTTTTATTGCTGAGAAGTAGTCTGTTCCCTAGATATACCACAATCTGTTATCCCCTCACATGTTGATAGCCCTGCAGGTTGCTTCCAGTACATAACTATTACAAATAAAGCTGCTGTGAATATTTAAGTATAAGTCTCTGTGTGGACATATGTTTTTATCTTCACTAGGAAAGGAATGTATGTTTGTTTTAAGAAACAATCTGTTTTCCAAAATTTAAATTTCTACCAGCAACACATGAGACTTCCAATTCCTCCACACCAATGCCAACAATTGGTATGTATGGTCACGCTTTAATTTTAGGCATTCTAAAGTTGGAGGACTCACACTACATGGTTTCAAGATGTACTACAAGCTATAGTAACCAAGACGTAGTATGGGTGAAAAGGTAACGGTGAAAAGACCAACAGATAAACACAGCAGAATGGAGAGTACAGAAATAGAGCCACACATATGCTGTAAGTCACCTTTTGACCAAATTCCAAGGCAGCTCAATGGAACAAGAAAATCCTTTCAATGACTAATGCTGGATCAACTGGATATCTACATGGAAAAAAATAAACCATGACCTCTACCTCACACGATACATAAAAATTAACTCAAAGTGGATTATAATATAAAGCCTAAAACTATAGAACTTCTAGAACAAAATATTAAAGAAAAGCTTTGTGACCTTAGGATAGGCAAAGATTTCACACATATGGCACCAAAAATATAATCATAAAATAAAAAGTTGATAAATTGGAATTCATCAAAAATAAAACACTTTAATCCTCAAAAGACACTGTTAAGGGCATAAAAAGACAAGTCACACACAGATTGGAAAGAAATATTTGCAACACATGTATTAGGCGAGAGACTCATATCTAGAATATAAAAATATCCAACTTTGTTATTCTTCATCAAAATTACTTTGGCTTTTATAGTTCCTTTGATTATCCATATAAATTTAGATTCACATAATTGATTTTAGTTTCAGATAATTGATTTCAGAATCAGACAATTGACTGGGATCGAATTGAATCTATAGATCAGTTTGGGGGACAATTGACATCTTAATAATACCAAGTCTTCCAATCCATGAATATGGTATATCTCTTTATTTATTTAGGTCTTCTTTTTTTAAATCACTGTTGTATGGTTTCAGCATACAGATCATGTAAATCTTTTGTTAGATTTATACCTTTTTCTGATATTTTTGGGTGTTATTGTAAATGATACTTTTTTTTTTTGAGGAAGATTAGCCCTGAGCTAACTACTGCCAATCCTCCTCTTTTTGCTGAGGAAGACTGGCCCTGAGCTAACATCCGTGCCCATCTTCCTCCAAACGATACTTTTTTACTTAATTTTTAATTTCCAGCTATTCATTGTGTGTTGATCTTATATCTTGCAGCCTTGTTAGACTAATTTATTCATCCTAGTATGCTTTTTTTGTAGATTCCTTGGAATTTTATAAGGGGATATTAGTGTTGCGTTCCTTTCTTTCCCTTCTGCAGACTTTATCTCTTGTTCTTGCCTTATGGCACTTGTTAGGACCTTCAGTGCCTTGATCTTGATCTTAGGGGGAGACATTGATTCTTTCTCTATTAACTATGATGTGAGCTGTAGATTTCTTCATTTGTTTGCTTCTGGTACATGCTCTTTATCAGTTTAAGAAAATTCTCTTCTATTCCTAGTATTTGGGGAGTTTAAAAAATTAATAAATGGATATTGAACACTGTCAAGTGCATATTGAGAGGATCACGGTTCTTTCTTCTTCAGCTTGTTGCTGTGGTTGGCTACCTTGACTGGGGCATCCATCACAGTCTTCTTCCCTCTTGGCTCTGGTATCAAGGTAATACCGCATTAAATGAGTTGGGAAGTATTTTTTCCTCTTCCTGTTTCTTCACTTTTCTATTTTACAGTACAGTTTCTGTAGAATTGATATCATTTTAAGTATTTAGCTGAGAAATACTGCTCTAGACAAGGAAGGAAGGCTTCTGGTTTCTTTATTTCCACTTCTCAGCTGAGCATGTTCTCAGCTCTGTGCCATGAAGAGAAAGCAATAACTGAAGTCCAAGAATATGGATTATTCCAGCTGTTCACCCCACACTTTAGGAAGTGTTCACAGCCCCAAAGATGAATGACATCATTTGCCTGATGTGAAAGCGGGGAACTGGAGGAACTTCAGGTGCAGCTCCCACCAGGGGGTGCTGTGTGCCCAGCCAAGCGCCTGGTGGGGGCCCATGGGGAGCCTTTGAACTGGAACCCGGTTCTGAGGCATGTCAGGGGCTCAGAATAGTGGCCAAGGTCCTTTCAGCAGTGGGACCATCCCCCGCATGCTTTCTCTGCATGGTGGAACCCTCTCTGAAGCACCTAGTTGTCCCGTTCGTTTCCTGCACCGAGCCTTTTCTATGTAGTGGGGGCAGAAATTCAAGCTTAGGGACAAAGAGTAAATTGTGGCTGGAGCCAGCGTGGAGACAGAGCACAGGAGAGTGAGGCTTAAGGAGGTTCTGGGAATGCATGATTTTCACAAATAAGTGAGAAAAAAATTTTGAATTTGGAGAGAATTCATGTCTAATGAATCCTTTTCACCAGGAAGGTAAGACCGTAAGAATAGTGACCAAGGGTCAAGTCGGTTTCCTCTGCCCCAACCTGCAGGGCCTCGTGCAGGGAGCACTGGTCCACGGGTGATGCCTTCGCTCAGAGGCCTCGCCCGCATCCCTCACCTGAGGGATTTCTCCTAACCA